ACAGAGTACAGAGGAATAACACCTGAGTCCTCAGGAATTGCAACGCATGGGGGGTATCATTGGCGAAACAGTATACTCTGTTATGTCCATGGTACTGCTCATGTCTATCTATAGGCGACGGTTACCACTTTCCATCAGGTGGGCCGTCAGCTTGTTTGCCATTTTAAGTTGTATAAAAAAAAAACAACCGAATTGAGAACTTTCTTCTTTTTGAAGTCTTCTTTTTGTACAAAGTCTCCCTCTGGTTTTTAATATTTGTTGTCCCAAAACTTCGTCAATTACAAACCAACTGCTTATTCCCTATATTGCATAATGCAAATAAAGTGTACTCATTTATTCACCAATTTGGAATATTCCTTTTTTTTTAAAAGATATACTTTCAGATTAGTTCCATAAAAAATTTATCAAAATCGATTCAGCACCTTTGTTTTTCAATCAAAATAACTGCTTATGTCATAATTGAAGTCAGTTTTTTTGTGGGTAACAAATAATCTTTGTTAGTGAGTGTCAAAATACCAAAAAATTACTCGAATAACAAAAAAGAACTACTCGACACATCACTATGCGCAGATTAAACACACTTTAAGCATAATTGTCATTAATTGATTCCTCTATGCACAAGGTACGTAAATAAGTGCATAATATCACATAATACGCCTCTATTACATAGCAATCTGTGTATTTAATATTAAATGGACGCAGTCACGGCCTTGCCCCACACGCAAAGGGATCCGACATTTATTTGCACTACTATACAAGTACTAATTTATAACTATTGCTATTCGTGTGTGTCGTCCTTTAGTTGCAAGAGTTTCTAGGCCGCCTCCATACACGACAACCTTTGAGGTGGCTTACAAATCCTACTTGTCGTCGAACAAAATCTACTACGCAGTGGTTTTTTTACTGTGAAGCAAAATCTACTATTTGTTTTTTTTTTTATTTATAACTACTATATACTATTATTGTAAAAAAGAAAGACATTGTTTTTTTGTATGTTTGTTTGTAATGGATGAACTCAAAAACTACTCAACCAATTTTAAATCACAATAATTACAACCTAAAGTATCAAAAAGTTGACTGTAATATAAATGTAATATAAAATACTTATTTGTCTATCTCTCTAACCATGTATATATATATATATATATATATATATATATATATATATATATATATATACTTTTTCACCCCTCACTGGTACCCCGCCAGCGTAATTACCATTCCACTATCATCCATTAAAAACAAATATGAAGTCAAAATTTATTTAATGTAGCTTGTATGAATTATACCTACAGATGCAACCAGCATTGTCACAAGCGCTTAATTTGTGACATTGTCATGTCATAAATATTGTACGGACCGCGGAGTCACGTTGTGAATAACAATAGTGGGCTATTAATATTTATGTCAAACACATGTTAAACTACTGTTTAGCAGCGAAACATGCTTAATAGCGAGCCCTTTTGACGCATTGTTTTAAATATTACCATTTTATATCAATTTAAAACTACTAACTCTCTGGTGATGAAAGATACTGTTAACAAAACGTGATAAGGGGTATCACGTCGGTTTATGCTCAATTATGCTCGATGAAACATGGATATGTCCAGTTATAAATAAATAATAAAGTAAATTCATACAACAAAAAAACGATTATAATTAACAAATGCCTCTGGCCGGATACCCCGTTAGAAATTATAGACGTGATCATATTTTATAGAATACAATTTTTTTAATAAAACAAAAATCTAGCGATATTTGGTGATCAAATTGTGATCGAATTTCTTAAATTCATGTTCGTATAATTTTTAGATGACTTTAAAAAAAGACATTCTCATTTTGATGGTATTTTTAGGATTTCCGTACCAAAAATGTGAAAAAATAATATATATATATATATATATATATATATATATAATGATTTATATTTTATGTAAATATTTATTTTAATTTCTGCTTTGCACTACTACATACTGCCCACTCACTACTTCCTATGCCACTGTGTTAGGTTGACTGGAAGAGATTTTAGAGATAAGTACGCCTTTGCTAACATTGTTATTAACTTATTATTGTTACTGTATGTTTTAGTGCAATAAAGAATACATATATAAGGAACTCTTAAGATGTGACTTTGTCCATCCGTACGTCCGTTCGTTGATTATGACATAAAATTTTTTAGTTATGGTCGAAAATGTTAAAAGACTATCCCCCCCCCTCCTCATCTTGAAATTTTTGAAGCGAAAACTCTGAAATAACTGCGGTTTATAGGGTATATGTGAATATCGTAGGAAAAATAAAACGATGTTACTAATTTGATAAATTTAAAAAAAACCTCCAAAAACAATCTTAGTTATTCTGTTCACTGCTTAATATACCTAAGACTCCCCTTTTGGGGGGTATTGACAGTAGTTGCCACGCTTGTCAGGCGGATTGGCAACCGCAGTAAGGATTGGAGATGTTTTAAGAGGGACGCAGCAGTGGACAGTTGACGGCTGATATGATGATATTTACAATATAGAAAAATAAATAAATAATAGTACAGTACTGCAGCGACCAGCAACTGAGGCATAGATGGACGAACGTGCAAATGTGGGCCGAGGCGTAGCCGAGACACACATACGTGAGTCCATCCAATGCCTAGTTGTGACCAAGGCTTGTATAGTACTTTTCTCAAACAATGCGCGGAAATCAAAAACACAATTTTACTTTTTAAGTTTAATGACGAATAACGAACAATAATAATTTTTCACGCGCCATAATGTACCTTTGTTTTTTTTTTTTCAATAAACAGGTTTCTATTTGTAAGCCAGTTCATAATTTAAATAAAACCTTTTATTAGTTACCTCCTTGGTTTCGAAGTAAAAGGTCATTCCATTTTTAAATTACAGGACAGATATGAGTTTACATAGTTATTTATCTGGCCGCATAACACGAGACATATGGATTTTCATACAACTTTTGCCGGCCGCTGCCCGCATGTATCTGGCCAGTACAGCAATTTTGATTTATTTTGAAGAAGATTGTCAAAATATTGCTCATATTTCCAAGCATGTTTGAGAAATATAATTTTTATTAAGTGCATAATTTACTTAAGCAATTTATTTGTGATCACAGCTCAAATAATCTATCTATAATATAATCGATATATAAGATATCTCACTACAAAAGCGTGTCTAACATCTGTATTTTTGTGTCTAAACAAAATAAAGTCTATCTTATTAAATATAACGAGATATGTTTACTGATCGGGATAAAAGTAGATGAAGAAAATCAGTTGGCCCATCGTAATGAATTTTACAAAAACTCAATTACGATGGTGACCTGGGGAAACCGCGAGTAGGTCGACCTGATGATGATGGAGCCTATATTGTAATGAAGTTGCTAATCCCCATTATTAACAATTCCTGGGAAGGCGGGGGGAGGGGGGCATACCATATAATACATATATAGTAAATTTCATAGCCTTTAAGACCTTAAAACATAACAAAATCAGGGGATGAGAATACGATCTACCAGTCTCATTGCTATCCACCCTGCCGCTGTCCACCCTGGAAACCATCGTGCTAAATTCCAGATGTATTCATCACGGTGGGTTAACTAAGCCATTTTTACATTCTCGCCTATCATCCCTCATCTTTTTTTTTATGATGAAACTGAAATGGTAACCCTGCCTGCGCTAACGATATACGCTGGCGGGGCACCAGTAAAGGGAGACAGATGAGAATGAAAACAAGCCAGTTAGTCTATCATGATGAGTTTATAAGTAATTAACCATGATAGTTTCCAGGGGGGACCGCGTGGAGGTCGTCCTGGTCGGGTATATTACAAGCAATGGGATTCTTAGTCTTCATTACTAACAATCTCTTCCCACCAGATTATACCGTTAGTGCAAGTGAGGCTACAATTCCATTATCATTCATAAAAAAAGCAACAAAATTACATTCACATATATAATATTAGTAAAGATAAAAGATATTTAAAATAACAAATTAAAAAAAAATAGTTTATAGATTTTCGCACGTAAATTACAAATAAATATTATTACACCCATTTGCCCCTTAAAAGAGACACATGTGTACTCTTAAACATCTCTGGCCGTGGCTGAAGTCTCTACTCGTGATTCTAGCGCGGGAACCAGACATTTTTGGGGTAGGAGCGACTCATCCTCTTCCCCTTTAAATATTCCTAACTAAACAATATTTAAAATATGTAGTTTCCAAACGAGCGTGTATGAAAAGATTGATGAATGTGGAAGAAGCGAATTTGAATCGAAGCATTTGGCGTTCCATTGTTTCTGCCTACCCTAATGGGAGACAGGCGTGACAGATATGTATGTATATATGTAGTTTCCAAATGACTACAAAAATAAGGTTCTTAATTCATTTGTATTTTTTTATGTTTGTTGCCTCATAACAAAACAGTTATAAACCGATTTCGAAAATTCTTTTTTTTTATTTCAAAGGATAAATTTAGAGATTGGTCTCATAAAAATTATTATAGTAAGACCGAAATTACCTGTAATATATCTACCATTTCGGTGTCATAGAAAAATAAATACCAATGGCCTTTATCCTTAAGATATAGGTATTGTTAAGGATCGTCGTTTTATTTCGTATTTCGTCCTCATGTACTCGTATGTAAGTAGGTAATCGTTTACCGTTTTTACTGTATGTAGTATACGTACCTATACATAAATATTCCGTAACCGGTTTATACACTCGTAATGAAAGTAAATTAACTAAATCTTTATGTGCTATTTACGAATACATTACGTTATCAAAATACAGTACATTTAATTTTGTTGCTAAACAAGTATTCATTAAAACTAAGAACGTAAATAGTCATTACATACAAATTTAAATTTATGTAGTTCTATAAAATCTTTATACTGTAAAATCGTCTGTAGGTATTGTAATATAGATAAATTATTTAGATAATGTGCGTACATTGATAAACATAAATTAACAAAACAACAAAAACGGGAACATGTGCCAACTTACCATTTCAACGCGAACTTGCGTTTAAATATAGAACAATACACACGTGCAATAAGTACACGTACTGCAAGACAATTTGAATTTAATATTCACTGTTCATAAAAGTCAAATTTCACTATTGCCTTAAAAAAAAAAGTTACTGGAAGTGTTCGGAATTTAATTTCAATTTTAACTTTTCCAGCCAGCTGTTTGGCGCGACCACTCCACATCAACACGAGTGTACACTGGCGGATGGCACATCATATGAATGAACAGATGGCTTAACCCGATCACTGTTTATAAAATTAACTTTATAATGTATGCGTAAAAGTTTAATTTCAAATGTTTGTAGCATAATCCGAGCGAAATCTTTCTCGGGAAATCGTATTTTTTTTAAGTTGTTTGGGTGAAGTGTGAGTTCTCGTTAGGCGCAGTGCGGCAAAGTCGGCGAATATTGACCAATGAACTTACAGTCCGCAATTTTATCGACGAATCAACATGTAGGCGCTTGTCATATTTTAACCTTTTAATAACACTAACAGTATGATGTTATCAATTAATTAACTAAATATATTTTAATTATTCACTGCCCATTCTGTAACCGACTAGCGTGATGTTGAAGTCAGGATATAAGTGGTGCCTATAATCATTAAAAAGTGTAAGAAACTGTAAAACTGTTTAGTAAATCATTAAAAAATCATACCAATATCTCTTTCATAAACAGATTCAAGGAAAAAGTTTTCAATTCAGTTGTATTTAGTTGTTATGTTTGTTATCTCGTAACGCAGTCAGTTATAACCCGATTTGGAAAAAACTTCTTTTTATATCTTAAAGTATATATTGTCAGATTATTCCCGTAGAAGTTTTATCAAAATCGGTTTAGTATTTTAGTTTTTAAATACATATACCTGATATGACCGCGATTGAAGTCGGTGTTTTACATCGACTTTTCTATGGAACAAAATCTTAAATTATGAGAACCCTTTACGTAAGTTTAATTCCAAATAAAGAAAAATTGAAGTAATATTAAAAAACAAATTCGATTGTGACAAGAGCAGTTATTTTGAATTAAAAATAAACTATAAAAATAAATTATATATATATATATATATATATATATTGGCAAAACAGTATACTCTGTTATGTCCATGGTACTGCTCATGTCTATAGGCGACGGTTACCACTTTCCATCAGGTGGGCCGTCAGCTTGTTTGCTATTCTAAGTTGCATGAAAAAACCTACTGAACCGATTTTGATTAAATTTCTATGTAATCTATAAGTATATTCTTTCAAATAAAAAAAAAAAGCAATTCGATTTACAACTGATGGAGTTATGAGGTAATAAATATAAAAAAAAATACAATCGAATTGAGATTTTTTTTAAGTCGATTTAAAACCAATTTTTTTTTTCTTCGGCAGATTCTACATGGTCTAACAGAATTATTCGATCACTGGTTTTTACCCCGCCCGCGATTTCAACTCCGTGACCGGGATACGTTGGTTGACCGAGATTAAATGTAGCGCATAACAATTAAATGAGCCATATTGGCGCCAAAATGTAACAGACAAGCAAACTCATTTCCGCATTTATAATATTGGAAACAAAAAGAAGTGAATAGCTTATGTACATGTTATTTATAAGATTATATACAAGTATCAATTAAAATGGCAGCCTTTTTCAATCATTTGGCAAACGAGATGCGTTTTAAATTATATTTTAAATTGTCCTCCATATTTATTTATTTATTTATTTACAACTTTATTGCACCTAAATGATAAAATTGTACAAAAAGAGCAATAAAATAACAAATTATAAATCAAATACACAAACATATTCCACATTCTTTGTCAAACAAATAACTAAATTATTATATTATAGTTTTAATAAAGGCTGGATTGTCATTATTATATATTTTGTCAGGTCGACTCACGTGGTACGATACAGGCCTGCGAACCTAGTGAAACCATCTGTATAAGAAATTCCGATTTTTAGTATTTATTACGATGGGTATTATTTTATTTTATGTTTATTCATTCATTTATTCTCAGACATTATCAATATTAGTGGCTCCATGATGCCACGCCAGACATCTTCTTTTTTTTTTTTGCAATGTATTTGAGCATCGGCTCACCTGATGGTAAGTGACTACACTGCTGCCCATGATCACGCCCACAACACCAGCGGCATTGCTGGAGGTCGTCGCCTGTTGAAGCCGGGGTTAAAAAGGAATACCTCGCCCGCCCACACATTTTCTTGAAGGTTGTTGTTGTCGATATCGGCTATATCGTTGGCGCAGGCGGCTTACCATTCCATTATCATCGATTAAAAAAAAATACAGTCTATTCGTCTCCCATTATAAAATAGTATGTTATACTACGTAAAGTAATAATTAAACAATTTTTTTCAAAGACAAAATGCTTGTTTAGAACCATAGTAGTATAAAAATACGACTGAATGCCATATGTCATTGTCCATTTGTACAAAGTACGCAATAAAGAATAAATTAATATAATCGTCTAAAAATATAAAATCACACAATGTTATAACCATTTAACATTTTCGAAACTAATAATGTTCTTGGACAAACAATAAACTATTTGTAAAACAATGGGTACATGAGTTTTTTTAGAACACAGGGGGCACAGCTATCAAATTAATTCTTTTAATTAAAGTCAGTGGTCAAATATGCCATAGTCATTTTAAGTGCTGGATAATAACACGGACTACCGATAAAGAGATTATTAACGCCAGTCTCATTGCTAGCAATGGAATAGCTGGAAACATCGTGCTGATTTCGGGTGTATTCATTAAGATGGTCTGCCATTTTATTCTTACCTATTAGTAAGGCACTGATGCCACGCCAGCTATATCGTTGGCGCAGGCGGCTTACCATTCCATGATCATCTATTAAAAAAAATACAGTCTATTCGTCTTTCATTATAAAGTAGTATGTTATACTACGTAAAGTAATAATTAAACAATTTTTTTCAAAGACAAAATGAAGCGGAAACGACAGGTACCTACTGTCCAGTGAGTACGCTTTTTATAACGTCTAAAAATATAAAATCACACCTACTAATTAGTTCTCACTTCCGAACCGAAACTAATAATGTTCTTGGACAAACAAAAACTTGTGTTTAAAGAATGTTTGAGTTAGACCACATTAGGCACAATATATGTATTTTGCATTTATATTAAAGTTATAATAGAATATTAGATATTTTCAAGGCATAACGACTTAAAAAGAAGGAATTCTTAGTTTGACTGTATTTTTTATTGTTACTTCATAACTACGTCAGTTCTAAACCGATTTAAAAAAATCTTTTTTTATCTGATAGGATATAAACCTACAGATTTGTCCTACAGAAATTTCATCGATTAAAATTAGTTCAGTAGACATTATTTCGTTCATTCATCAAAATCATCATTAAAATTAGTAGTTTAGACCTAAGAACAAGGAAATCTTTGTTTTAAACTTAAAATAATTAGTGATGTTACAATTGACACTGTAATTTTTTTTTATTTAGTTTAACATCTGTCGATGAAGTAAATCCAAGCTGGAAGTCATCGTTGCTTTTTTGTGATCCTATATATGTAGTGATTAGTTTATAATCATCTCTGATTACTTAATATATCTAATACTAGCTATCCTACCCAGCTTCGTACGGCTTTTTTTATATTAAAATATTACTCGCTAATAATGTAACTTACTATAGATAAAAATTTTCAATTTTATTTTGTAACATAGGAAGCAAACGAGCACGCAGCTCACCTGATAGCAATTCATTTGCGATATCAGTGAAATTGCAGGTGTGTTGCCGGCCTGTTAAGAAAAAATATGCTCTTTTCAATGTCATATTTATTTGAAATAATAATACCGCCATCTCACCTGGCAATGTCACATCACAACTCCTCAAAAACGGGGAAAAGGGATTGTTGATAATGCAGTCTAAGCATACCCAATGTTGTTACTCTATCAGGTCGACCTCCACGCGGGCCCACTTGATCGGCATCATGGTTAATTCCCAGCGAATTCGCAACGATGGGCCAACTGACCTTACGTCATGAAACATTTCTTACTCCATTGGTGCCTTGCTACTGTATCCTGTTAGCAAAGGTTTTTGGGTGAAAATGGAATGGTAATCCTGACTGCATTATCGATATACGTTAAAGGGGTACCTGTGAGAGATGATAGGTGAGGATAAGAACAAGTCAATTAGCCATCGTGACGAATTCCACAAAAACTACGATGGTTTCCAGAGAGAACCGCGTAGAGATCTACCTGATAGGGTATTTTGCTAGCAATGGGGCTGCTAGACCCTATTACTAATAATCTCTTAAGGGGGAGGGGCCCCCTCTGTAAACAAAGGCGAGTACATCATTTCTTCTTCATACATAAAAAAAATAAAATAAAAACACAGCTGTGCATGCATAGCTGGATAATGGTACAAACAACTCCAGTATACAGACAGAGTACCTAATATAATTAACTGTTTATATTGCGACTTCTTGATGAAACTTCATTGGAGTACCTAATGTTTTTAATCACGTAAGTACGTCACGAATTCCTATGGAACAAATTGAACCATGAGCGTTAATTGACCTCATCCTGCAATTAACTCCTTATCTATCCATATAAAGCGCGTAGTAGGTACGCAATTTTTATAATCCAACGTATACCTGTTTTATTTGGATTAAACCAAATTCATAAGTTTTAAATGTGCTCGACAAATTTGAACGGCATTTGGTATAAAGATGGACGATATATCTTGAAATATAACACATACGCTACTATTTGTATGTTAATATATGTATATATACAACCCTTAGATTATAGTATAAATATGTAAATAAAAGCTTACACGATACGGACATATAATTATAATATATAATTATAAACTACCGCATTTAATTTTCAACTAAAATATACACTTTGATACAATGGAGCCGATTGTAAGACGCCATTTCTCTATGTCTAAAATTGAAATTTCAACTTGATATCATAACAAAATCTTTGAAGATGGTCCTTTGTGATACTACCAAATTTAAATATTAAGAAATAAGAATAGAGAAATAGCGCCTTAGAGTTAAGCTCATTGTCATGAAATAAAACATTTGCTATCAAATCTTAATAGGCGCTCTTTACCGAATTTTAAATTAGTTCTAGAAATATTGTGTTTGTTATATATTACGTTTATTATAAAGTTTCTTTCTTTTTTCTTACCTACCTAAACTTACCTGTATTTAAAATAATTAAAGATTATGTTCCAAATGATTTCAATTTTGGCAATTTAAAAAATAAAGTACTAAAACGATTTTAATATTATTTCTATGAGACCAATCTGTAAGTAAGATATATTTCAGATAAAAAAAATCCAAATCAGTTTAGAATTGACAGAGTTATAAGGAAACAAACATAAAAAAATAACTGACAGAGTTATAATTTGTTGAACAAACTATCTAGAACACATAGTGGTACTAAAGTAACCTTAGTATTAATAAGTTTTCATAAAATGAACGAACCATCAGATGGCAACCATCAGATGAGAAAACATATTGCGCTTCTACTATAAAAATAAATGCGTCAATAACAAACAGAATAAATGCATATGACGGAATAAGAGGAAGAAGTAAATGAAAAAAGAAGACACCTAAACCAGACCATTGGCGTCAATAGATAGATACTTACAACAACAAACATAATAAATTTGGTATAAAAAGTCTTTATTATATATATATAATGTGAGAAATACAGAGTGAATATACCTCATACAGCTAAATTAAGATTATAAAGTATAACAAAGTTTAAATAAGTAGGTATTTCACACTATTCATTCTTAGCAAAAAGCAATAAACGCAGTATTGCCTCTGCCGAACAATTTAGGAACTAAAATTATAGTTTTGATCGTCTATGAAGCATAATAATAGATTTAATCTTTACAGATTCAAGTATGACGGATTCGAATTAGAATATTTATCTGTGATATTTGCTTTGACAACTTTTGAAGTATGCGATTTTATTTAGTCGTAATTATTTTTTTTCTTTATTTCATAGCAAAATTATAATCTAATTCAATAATAGAACTTTTTGTTTATAAAAAATTGTTATTAAGTGCTCCTGAAACTGTGAATAGTTTAACTCGTGAGTACTGTCTTTTTGTAATTTGTTATTGAAACATTTTGCAAAATTCACTTTATAAAACCGAACATGCTCATATGTAATCATACATTGTCTACTAAAACACGTGATTCAAGGACTATAATATCCATTTGACACGATTAATCAAATTAACTGGTCTCTAATAAATATAAACAATGACACCTAATAATTACTAGTTTGCGAAATCGCCCCTTTATCAGCCATTTAAAGGTTTCCTTGTGTTATGGTCACTATCTGATATTTGACGCAAGGTGCAATCCACTTTACTTGTAGGTACTGCATTTATTTTGATAAAAAAAAAATACCTATGACTAAAGAGCAATTTGTACATGAATTGGTATCAATTATTTACTTACTGGTATGGTTTAATTTTAATCCTTAGGACTATTCCAATAAGAATACAAATGTTTTACTTTGTTTCCAAATAGGATGTAGGAGTACACAGACAAGTATGTGTATGTAGTACATTTTTTCATATGATTAGAATAAGTTGCATGAATACAAATAGAAATAGGTTGAGTAACTAATATTAGTAATTATGAACTGTTATTAACACATCCAGTTGGAATAAAACAATAATAATATGTTACTGAGTTAGGTGTTATTTTATGGAAGTCCATATCACTGGTTAGTTTATTAAAATTATTTTGCTACCATCAATATGCATGTGACTGTCAACACTCAAAGTTTGATTACTATTATTATGACCAAATTATAAATAATAATAATAATATATTACCAAATAAAAAAATCATCAATTTATTGATACAAGCTTAATAGTTACAAACACTTAATTTAGCATTCAGCATGGTGCCTATTATTTATTTACATATGTTCATCTGTAGGTGTCACCTACCTACTTTTTAATTTACTAAATTGTTTTAAATTCCTGCTGTTGTATTAATTCAATTATATTATGTTTAGGTTTAATTTCACAAATCAAAAATTCATGATAGTATATGTAATGTTTTAATGTTGATTTTCAACCTATATTTCTTTAGTGAAAATGATAAGTGTTGCTAAAAGAACATGGTCTCAAAAATATGTTTACAATTTTTATTTCATTCTTTATATATATATAAGTTCACCATCATTTTTTTTTTTATTTTCAAAATAATATATTTGCTATCAATCAAAAGATTTATAGTCAAATAATAATAATTTATATTTCTGCTATGAAGCAGTTGTGTTTGCATGGCTATGTTTTAGTTTCAAGTGTAGAAAATGGCAGTGAAATAACAAGGTACAGAAGCACAATACTTAGGACTGGCAATTCATGGAAGGTTTCATAGGTAACACAGTGTACTCTGTTGTGTATGTCTATAGGTGATGTTTACCATTTTCCATCAGGTAGGTCATCAGCTTGTTTATCATTCTAAATTGCATGAAAAATGTAATATATTGAATGATTTATAGTTTTTTTTAAGGAAAAGGCCAGTGCCCGAATCTAATATCTATAATAGCTGAATATAATCTAAGATCCATTAGTTTAAAAAAGCCTTTATTAATTGATCTTATATTCTACATGATTATAATTATGCTGCACAACAGTTGCTGGGACAACATATTCTTCAGATACAAAGGTCTCCTCCAGTATCCTGTTGTTTGTAAAATATGCTGGTTCTTGTTATGTATATATTATTTATTAATTATATTATTGTATGTAAAAATGCCATCTGTTGACTTGATGTATTGTATATTTTTGTTTTATTCTATTGTTTATAAATATTCTTTTTTATAAAAAAAAAAAACTATAATTGTCAAAGTATATAAAAAGGTTAATTTTGAACATATTGCACCTATTATCTTCTACTAGAAATAAAAGTAAACAATAATATTTGTATATATAAAATTAACTATCATGTGATGATATCAGGTACATCAGCTTATTGATAGGCTTTAAAAAGGTACCTCTAATATAATTTTTTTCTGACTTGTTTATAAATATTCTTTTTTATAAAAAAACTATAATTAGTAATTTTATATACTTTGAGGTTAATTTTGAACACCTGTTTTTTCATATCTCTTGCTGTCATAAGCCACAATGCATTCACAACTCTTTGGTTATCATCGTCATTATCAGCAAATATAATTTTTTTATCGTATATTTCTAGTATATATGAATAATTTTTTGAGCTAGATCTATAAAAATATTTTTCATGTTTGTATCATGATTTCTCAGTAGCTTTATTACAGATGTGTTTATATAGGCATGTTAACACTAATTACTATGATTTCTTATCAATAATTATTGAAAACTAATTATTTATGTTCATCCAGATTAATTAATAATTTTATTATCAACTTAAATAATTATGTAATAACTGTTTCAAATATATGGAGATGACATGCAATTTTATATGTACATAATAAGATCGCTTTATAAAAATTAAATTATTATAATATTTTGAATACATGACTAGTATAGATTTATTCAAGTAGGAATCTGTACCGTTTTTTTAATCTGTCATAAACATAATTCATTTCCACACATATGTATTTTAATGTAATCACAATTGGATTAACTTCCGAGTATTTTACTGCGAGCTCGCGCTCTCGCTCCCATAATGGCCGCTCATGACTAAGGGTCATGAATGGTTCGGAAACTAGTCAAGATTTCATGAATAAAATACATGTAAGTTAATCCCGTCTTTGTTACATTAAAATATAATGTGTACTTACGAAACTTTACAATTCCATATATGAGTATTGGCACTCCCTCCCTAAAGTCTAACAAGACTCTTGTCGGTGGAGCTCTTGCCGCTCACTACGATTTTCAGCGACTCTTCACCTCTTGATACGACACGACACCAACTCCTTCCTTGATCTGCCTGATGTAACTATGCCTTGGTCTCCCTCTTCCCCTCCTTCCTTCTATCTTACCTTCTATTATAATGTTCATAAGTTTGTCGTGTCGTATCAAGTGTCCCAACATTTTTTCCCTTCTGTAGTCAATAGTTTTTATAATTTGTCTCTTTTTCCTTAACCCTCCTCATTACCAATTCGATCTCTCCAGTAATTTTTTTCCATCCTTCTCCAGCACCATATTCTCCTAAGTTTATTTATTTATTTTTTTTCATTAGTACAAATATGTGTACATCCTTAATGCTAAAAGCACCATATTTCAAAGCCTCTAATTTTGATATACATTCTAAAATTACATATATAAACGAATAAATATATATAAATCAAATATACTTACACATATATGACATATACTATATTATACAAGAAATATAGAATAATATAAAGTACTTAATTATCGGATAAAAATAAAAAGTGTGCGTTAACAAAACTATAGTCTCTTAATGGCATCAGGAAGCGCGTTCAAAGCTTCCGAGTTAATGTCCAACTATATAATACATACATAAGCAATAAGTTGATTAATAACAAGACCAGTTTGGCTAAATTGCCATGTGGTTCCAGTATGGAATGGAAACTCCTATCATCCCCGTGAGTCACGTAAAAGGCGATTCAAGGAACTTAATAATGAAGGAATGGGCAGCAGTGTCCCGACGCTTAATTACAATTGCCGGGGGGTAAAGTTAGTTATTAGTAACGGAGACTGAGAATCCCATTGCTAGCAATACACCCAACCAGGTCGACCACCCCGCGGTTCTCCCTGGAAACTGTCATAGTTAATTCCTAATGAATTCATCATGATGGGCTAACTGGCTTGTTTTCATTCTCATCTGTCACCCTTCACTGGTGCTCCGCCAGCGTATCCCGTTAGCGCAGGCGGGGTTACCATACTTACTTGCCAAGTGTGGCAACTACTCCCATATTACTTATGGGAGAGGCCTATGTTCAGCATTGGATAGTTAATAATGTTATAATGAAATGTAGGTCACCTAATATCATAGTATATAATAGATAACATAGTGCTGATAACGGACTTGTGCATAACATTGCATATTTACAAGTCATGTTTGTTTTTATACTAGTATAATGGCAAACAAGCATATGTCCCGTTTGATAGTAAACGGGGTTACCGTAGCCTGTAACACCAGGAATGACCTTTAAGAAACCTTAATACGCCATTTTTTAAAGAACCCTATGCTCAATTCGGTAAAATTATTTTATTTATGTTTGTTACCCCATAAGTCAGTCAGTTGTAAACCAATTTGGAAAATTCTTATTTTATCTAAAAAGATATACTTAATTGTTAAAAATTTCGTAAGCACTCATTATATTTTAATGTAACAACTACCGGTTTAGCTTACGTGTAATTAGATCGAAGAAGCTCGACTAGTTTCGGAATCAATTCGTGACCATTAATCATAAGGCACTGTGACGCAAGCACGAGCCTGACTGCTCTAATTCTAATTACACGTTGGTTCCGTAGTTTAATTTAAAAAAAAAAATATTTTTTTTTACTTTATTTGAAGTAAGGTTTTTTGTGGAACGTAAAGTGTTACAATCAATTTACCCAATGGCCTACCATCGTACGGCTCGCCATCGACAGGGAGTTCATCCTCAAATCCTACAGCCTAAATGGTCGCGTACAACGCGGTTTCAGAGATGTTTCCTCCCACAAACACTCAGGTTATGGAATGAGCTCCCTGCCGAGATTTTCCCAAGAGACTACAGCATGGAGTTCTTCAAAAGGGCGGTAAAGAGGTTTCTTCAGAATTGGCAACGCGCGCGTAATACCTCTGGTATTGCTGGTGTTCATAGACTACTGTAACCACTTGCCATCAGGTGGGCCGTATGCTTGTTTGCCACCTCAGTGGTATAAAAAAAATTAACTGTATGTTTTCGCAATCTCTTACAGAGGTCAAGATCTCCTAAAGATGCGACAGCCTCATACACCTACAGAAGCGAGCGTAGGTACACATGAGACGTGAGACGTGGCCAAGGTGAGCAACAGTATCTGACCGCATGCACCGGGCGGCACCATGCTCGGCGCAGTGTTCGCCAGCGTGCTCGGCCTGCTCGGCCTGCTCGCGGTAGTCAACGGGAATATAATCATTTACACAAGGGAGACGCCGCACTCGGTGAGTTTTTCTTAATAAATTATTATTAGTCGTAACTAATATATATATATATATATATATATATATATATATATATATATATACGCATGGGGGGTATCATGAGCGAAACAGTATACTCTGTTATGTCCATGGTACTGCTCATGTCTATAGGCGATGGTTACCACTTTCCATCATTAAATATATAAGTTGTATAAAAAAAAATGCACAGCCAGAACTGCTGAATGTAGAATCTTGAAATTTTACAATAATATTAAATATATAATTTTACAATATCGTCATAGTCGTAGAATACTGACGGATCTTTATATGTAATCTTTGTCAGATCCGTCAGTATTCTACGACTATGAAGATATATAAATTTATAAAATAAAGACCTATTTATACATATAGCGTAGGTAAACAAAAAGAATTTTGAAAATTCTACCCCCAAAGGGGTAAAACAGGCTTTGAAAGTATATAATATCGTTAATTTAAATGTAAGACGCGAACATCACACGCAAGCGAAGATTGGTAGATATTGGACAAAATTGTATAAAATAGCTAGTGCTTCTAACAACAAAGCGCCATTTTTTTATTTTTATAGGAATATGACTAATAAACTGTCAACACAACGTGACGCATCAGTTTAGATGCGTCAAGCTAGTTCATTGGGTTCAACAATATACCGCCACCGTACAACTCACAGATAAGAACAATACAAATTAAATTCTAATAAAATTATTGTGTACTATTCAAATTGATATAAATTACATACATATGTTACGTATCTGTCACGTTTGTCTCTCGTTAGGGTTGGCAAATTTTAATATATTTTTTATGCAACTTAGAATGGCAAATGAGCTGAATGCTCACCTGATGGAAAATGGTAACCGTCGCCTATAGACATGAACAGTACCATGGACATAACAGAGCATACTGTTTCGCCCATGATACCCCCCATGCGTTGCCATTCCTGAGGACTCAGGTGTTATTCCTCTTTACTCTATAAATTCACTGTCATGTGGACTAAGGTGTTATGTCGTCCCTCTTTAATCATTAAAGGCTAACTACGGTTGCCAACCTCTTCTGCCAAGCGTTACAACTTCAGGCAAAATCCCTCTTATGGGGGAGACTTATATTTTTCTTTTTTTTTATGCAACTTAGAATGGTAAACAAACTGAGAGGATTCAGCAATGGATAGTTAACGGCTGATATGATGATGAAAAGGATATGGTTAGGATGATGAGGAGGAGATTAAGAGGTGATACCCTGTAATTTTACAAATGAATGTACTCGTATAAGAAATTTGTTTCCTAAAACAAAGCGCTTGTCATGATTGTAACGCTTGCGCTCTGGAGATTGTTAGTAATGGGGTTTAGCAGTCTCATTTCTAACAATATACCCTGTCAAGTAGACCTCCACGCGGTTTCGCCTGGAAACCATTATGATTAATTCTTAAATTAGTCACAATGGGTTAATGATTTGCAGTCATCGTTACCTATCATCCCTCACTGCCCCGCTAGTGTATACCGTATAGTGTAGCGCAAGCGGGGATGACATTCCATTTAAACCTGTTTAAAAAAAAACGCCTGCGCTCATTTCCATTGCTACCTATAGCTTGTGATACAGGGCCGTAGCCAAGTTTAAGGTAGAGCAAAAAAACTTTTTGGTAGGGCAAAATCCATAATTATCGAAAAGGCGAATCTTTCTAATTGGAGCCTTTCATTTTAAGGTAGAGCATTGCTCCTAAATCCCCCCCCCCCCTCGCTACGGCCATGTTCCGATAGATTTGTAAATTATCAGTATAGCACTAACATTGGTGAAATTTAATTACGCTAACCGACTGTGATTCGGATGATTAAGTTGTTGCGTACTGAATTGAATGCAGTTACGTGATGAGAACGCCGGCCACTAGTTATTACCTGACTGTTAAAGAAAATAGGGTAATGTATCACGAGTATGCATAGAGTGAAATCGAAACCGTTTGCATTTTAAGGGTATTATTATACAACGCTATCGAGCCGGGGGGGAAAGGGATTGTTAGTATTGGAGACTGAGAATCCCATTGCTAGCAATATACCCAAGCAGGTCGACCTCCTCGCGGTTCCCCCTGGAAACTATCATGGTTAATTTCTGATGAATTCATCACGATGGGCTAACTGGCCTGTTTTCATTCTCATCTATTACTCTTCACTGGTGCTCCGCCAGCGTATCCCGTTAGCGCAGGCGGGGTTACGATACCATTTTCATCCATCAAAAAAAAAAACGCTATCGAGCTTTAAAAAACGGGTCAACTTTTTGTTAGCTAATTGTCAAACTAGCTGGTTTTCTTTATCGATATTCTATATATTAATGCATAAAATGTATCTTGACGTATTATTTAATAAATAAAATGAATATTATACGCATTAAAAAGATGCAGAATTTATAAGACCAAATAAATATAGAAGTTATAAAGGAATCACCCATATCTATTTATTTCGCAAAATTTTATGAAAATGTTGACCTGTTTTTCTCGAAGCATTTGTATGGAGACACTCTATCTATATAATCTAAGACGACGCCGTATGGTCCCGGCTTAGAATGGGCTATCCCTTCCTTTCCCATAGGAATCATAAAAGGCGACTATTTCACCTTGGCTCTAAAAAATAAATCGAACCCACACTTACCGTTGTAACTTAATTAAACAGGGGGAAAGGGATTGTTAATAATGGTTTCTAACAGCCCCATTGCTAGCAATATTACCTATTAGGTCGACCTTCACGCGGTTCCTCTTGGAAACCATCGAGTTCATCCTCACTTATCATCTATCACTGGTGTCCAACCAATGTATACCGATAGCGCTGACGGGGTTACCATTTCATTATCATTCAAAAAATAAAAAGACTAAATTTAGGCGTTCGATTGTATGTTATATTGTAAACAATCTGTAATCTTATCTATTAACGCATGCGACGCATTCTTTCGATAACATGATTAACCGCTGCTCATTGACAAATAGCCGAATGATCAAAACGTATATATATAATGGATGATAATGTAATGGTAACCCCGTCTGCGCTAACGGTATACGCTGGCGGGGCACCAGTGAGGGATGATAGGTGACGATGAAAGCAGGTCAGTTAGCCCATCGTGATGAATTGCACTAGAAATAACCACGATGGTTTCCGGGGGGAACCACGTGGAGGTCGACCTGATATTGCTAGCAATGGGGCAGTTAGACCCCATTACTAACAATCCCTTTCCCCCCAAACGTATATATTCGAGATTGATAATTACAATACATTAACACAAACTCAATATTGCCATGCTACTAGATTAATACATTTTACATATTTTTAGACATAGTAAATTTAAATAAATACACATAATATTAACAGAGATTTAAAAGAGTAACTGTTGAGTTTCTTGCGGGCTCTTCTCAACAGATAACAACTTTCCGAACCCTGCAATAGATTAAAAAAAAAATTAAAATGATGACGATTTAAAAGTGCTTGTAAACAAGTCTATTTGAATAGAGATCACTTACAGGTGAGCCGCATTCTCGTTTGCCCCCTGTGTTGTAAAAAAGACAGATAATTTGAATTTACTAGGGTGGGTAATATATAGTAATATGTATGTATTGTAGTTACAATATCTATACATATATTGGCCTAATAACAGATATATTAATTATCAGTTATCCATAGTATCCGACCGAACTTTCGGTTTTTGTTTCAACTAGTTTCGGCCAGAAATTCTACTTTCAGCCTTAATTTCGGTTTCAGCCAAAAATTAACCGAAACTTTCGGCCGCGCCGAAACTTTGTGTTTGTGTTGTGTGTGTGTCTAACTGAAAGTTGTTTTTTTTTTAATTTACTTCCAAGAGTAAGTTATAATGTTAACATGTTTTTACATATTATTGTATATGACATATTTGTTACATACTTTAATTAGTGTATTACCCATTGACTATCTGTGTGTTTGTGTGAATAATTGTGTAAAAAATACACTATATTTCAATATAGAAGAGAAATTTTAATTATGTTTGTTTCTGTTTCAGCCGAAATTGAGACCAAAGCCGAAAGTTCGGTTTGGGTTTCGGTTTCAACTGTAAAACCTGTTTCGGTCGGACACTAATTATCTATATAATATATAATACCGAAAAGAAGAACCCACTCGTAATTAATATTGATATCCAACTGGTATGGGCGATATCGCAATGGGTAGTCATCAATATACAGATGAATTGAATATATAGATATCAGATATTACCAATCTCTACATGCTAGTGTTGTTTGTTGAAAAATTTTATAGAATTTACATAGCAATAAAATAAGTTATTTTTTGTCATTGTCATTGACAAGCGAACACTTCATTTGAATTCTACAATATCATGTGTTTTGTTTCTGTTACGAACACAAGCTTTTTTTTTCTTATGCTGATTAATACAATCTATTTTGCATTTAGAAAATAGGTCATTTTTCTCCCTGTAACGTAAATGATAAGAAATACTTACCTATGTCGTTGAGCTTCCAATATTATCGTAATCCTAATAATATTATAATATAAATACAAAAGTTTGTAAGGTCGGATAGATGAATAGATGGATGTTTGTTGCTCTTTTACGCAAAAACTACTCAACGGATTTGAATGAAATTTGGTACACGGGTAGATTATATCTTCTCTACCTAGGGTACTTTATATATTGATACGCGAGTAAAGCCGCGGGACACAGCTAACATCAAATAATGTAATACTACGTTCAATACCGATAAAGATAATATTTTTTTTAAACGAGGCAAACAGACAAACCTACTTTTAGAAACCCCAAATATATCTTATATCCTATCTTACTTGGTATGGATAATATGGATACCGGTCCGATATCTATATATTGGGTTTCTCTGGAAATCGATGGCAGAAAAAAGGTCATCGCCCATTTCGATATCGTCCATATCGGTCGCATATCTATTTTCGAATATGTTAAAAATCTATTATCCAATATTATTTTCTCAAACGTGCTTGGAAATGTGAGCATTATTTTGACAATCTTCTTAGAGATAAATCAAAATTGCCATACTGGCCAGATACATGCGGGCAGCGGCCGGCAAAAGTTGTATGAAAATCCATATCTGTTGTGTTTTGCGGCCAGATAAATTAATATGTAAACTCATATCTATCCTGTAATTTAAAAATAGAGTGACTTTTACTTCGAAACATGGCTACCAAGGAGGTAACTAGTAAAAGGTTTTATTTAAATTTCGAACTGGCATGCAAATAGAAAGCTGTTTATTGAAAAAAAAAACAAAGGAACATTATGGCGCGTGAAAAATTATTATTGTTCCGTTATTCGTCATTGAACTTGAAAAGTAAAATTGTGTTTTTGATTTCCGCGCATTGTTTAAGAAAAGTACTATACAAGCCTTGGCCACAACTAGGCATTGATGGACTCACGTATGTGTGCCTCGTCTACGCCTCGGTCCACATTTGTACGTTCGTCCATCAATGCCTCAGTTGCTAGCCGTTGCAGTAATATACTATACAGTACATAGATATTGCTACATATTACCCACTCCTTAGTCCTAGTCCTAATTCGTCAGGATATAGACCGATTAAATCTTTAATATAATATTAATCCTTAATACAAATCGACACAACGTCCTTCATTTCGACTTTATCGCACTACATATCTCATGTTTTTGTCTACTGTTTACAGCGTTGAAACTCAGAAGTCACAGTATTTTTCCTTTTCATTTATTATCATCCACTTAATCAGTTATCTTTAAGAATTATCAATAAGAACTCATAACTGGTCACTATACAGTCCCCAGTTAGAACTGAGCCCCCATACATGGAAAACGGTCGAGTGACAAATATCGGAAAAAGTGGCATAGGATGAACATTTAAATTGTAATATATTGTAAATAAATTGTAATACTGTAAATTAATTGTAACATTGTAAAATATTCTGTTTTTTTTTTTTGTAACGAGTTCATTCTAGAACTAAAAATGTAAACTAATTGGATTACGGGAACTCTCCTTTATGGAAAGTGATATAATTGTGTAACGCCCTAAAATGTGAAGAGTGGAATATAACGTGAAAGATGTGGCGGAAATTTACCATAAAAATTTTCTACATAGTGGGCTTACAGCACTTCGTTAGTATTGTTTTTTTCTTTATACAATTTAAAATGGCAAACAAGCTGACGGCTCACCTGATGGAAAGTGGTAACCGTCGCCTGTTTGTTTTACGTTATGCATTTTTACTAATTTTATGAATGTGATAGTGAGTTCGTGTCCTCTTGACCTCTTTATCACTCAATCATTATCATCATCATAATGATGATGATGATGATGATTATATCAGCCTTTAACTGTCCACTGCTGAATATAGGCCTCTCTCGTGACGGGCTTTGTCAGTAGTTGCCACGCTTGGCAGTCGTATTGGCAACCGCATTCGGGCTTTAGAGATGTTTTAAGAAGCTGCTGTCTATCCCCCACCCTCGTTTAGTCGGCTTTTACGACACCCACGGGAATGGAAGGGGTGGCCTATTCTATGCCAGGACCATCCCACGGTGTGTTTGTGTATATATATACCACTCAATCATTTAATATAAAATTGGGTCGATATATGTACATTGTCTTATCAGCCGTTAATCCATTCACTGCTGAATATAGGCCTCTCCCGTAAGGAGGACTTTACCAGTAGTTAACAGGCGAATTGGCAACCACAGTATGGCATTTGGTGATGTTTTAAAAGAGACGCTGTTGCCTATCCCTCGACCATAAAATCACATTCGTCGCTTCTTACGACACCCACGGGAAAGGACTCTTACGATGCCCAATCTATGTCGGGACCACACTGCATTCATACACCTACTTTATTTTAAATGGAGAAAGATATGGGTTACTTTTTATCATCAAAGTGTAATTGTATCTTTTTAAAAAAAGAACAAACTGCGGATGGTGTGATGACCGCTCAGTCAGTCGGACAATGCTTGACTGCAGTTCAAGGGTTCCAAATTTGAATTCCAACTCATGTTTGGATCGTTTAAAAACGATTATCACTTGCTTATTGCTTCAGAGGGCACGTAAGCCGCCGTCTGATAAGCTACGTCCAAGGTTTTTATGTTTAACCAAAACGGTTTAGAAACTCTTGACAGAAAAGGGTGCCACCTTCACACGAATAGTATTTTTTTTAAGAGTGATAATACAATGGTAACTTCGCCTGCGCTATCAATATACACTATGGGATATATACACTGTGGGATATTATTGCTAAATAATTATTATATTATTATTATTATATTATATATAAATATAAAGTATTAATAAGTAAGGATGAAAGCAGGTCTTTTTTTTTGTTGGGTGAAAATGGTATGGTAAACCCCGCCTACGCTAACGGGATACGCTGGCGGAGCACCAGTGAAGGGTGATAGATGAGAATGAAAACAGGCCAGTTAGCCTATCATGATGAATTCATCAGGAATTAACCATGATATTTTCCAAGGGGAACCGCGAGGAGAGCGACCTGTTTGGGTATATTGCTAGCAATGGGATTCTCAGTCTCCATTACTAACAATCCCTTTCCCCCCGATGAAAGCAGGTCCGCCCATCGTGACGAATTCCACAAAAAATAACCACAATGGTTTCCAGGAAGATCGACCTGATAAAGTATATTGCCAACAATGAGGCTGTTAGACCCCATTACTAATCCCTTTCCCACCGAAGAGGATGAAGGTATATTAGTTGGCCCATCGTGATGAATTCATTTGGAATTAACTACGATAGTTTGCATGGAGAAACGCGTAGAGGCCGACTTCAACCATTGCTAACAATCCCTTCTCTGGGTGGAAAGGTGGATCCCATTGCTAATTATATACCCAACCAGGTCGATCTCCTCGCGGTTCCCCTGAAAACTATTATGGTTAATTCCTGATGAATTCATCATGATGGGCTAATTGGTTGTTTTCATTCTTATTTATCACCCTTCACTGGTGCTCCGCTAGCGTATCCCGTTAACGCAGGCGAGGTTACCATTCCATTTTCACCCATCAAAAAAAAAACAATCCCTTCCCCCAAATACACGAGTAGTAAAAAGGTAGAGGATCAATTATTAATTGTCATTCATCCATTTGCAGATAGCGGATGAGTTCCACGACATACCGGCCAGTTTTGGTGGCGAGATCCCGTCGGACGGACTCCGAGGGTACCTGGTGGCCGGCAACCCGCCAGATGGTTGCGGCAACCTCACCAAGCCGCCCGTTATACCGGACCCATTTGTCAGCAATTGGATAGTGCTTGTAGCCAGGTAATTATTTCTACACTAATATTATTATATTACTATATAAATATACGAGTATATGTCGCCGTGTGGTCCCGGCATAGAATAGGCCACCCCTTCCTTCGAAAGAGTCGACTAAGGGAGGACGAGGGATGGGCAGCAACGTCCTTAAAACATCTCTAAAGCCTAACTGCGGCCAACTACCAAGCATGCCAACTATTGACAAAACTCCCCTTATGGGGAATGCTTATGTTTAGCCGTGGACAGTTAAGGGCTGACAATAATATAATCGATACTGGCAAAACCCCCCAAGGGAGAGGGGAGGCTAATGTTTAGCGGTGAACAGTTAAAGGGTCATATGATGATGATAATGATGATGACTATATATAAAAAAATCCGCGATTTTATGACTTTCTAACCGTATTCAGTGTGTGATCACGCAAATGTATGATATACTTTTTTTTTATATATAACTTAGAATGTCAAACAAGCTGACGGCCCACCTTATGGAAAGTGGTAACCGTCGCCTATAAACATGATATATATATCCTATTAATATTATAAACAAGCGGCCCGTCCCGGCTTCGCACGGGTGGACATTTGTACATTTTAAAAAGTGGCCATTATGGCTGCACACGCGACGGAAGCTTAAAAATGGAGTAACTTCTCATGTTTTCCCAACATTTCCCTTCACTGCTCTGCTCCTATTGATCGTAGCGTGATAAAAAGTATACTATAACCTGCCCAGGAGTATGAGGAATAATTGTACCGAGTTTCGTTAAAATCCGTCGAGTAGTTTTTGTTTCTATAACGAACATATAGACAGACAGACAGACAAAAATTTTACTGATTTCATTTTTGGCATCAGTATCGATCACTAATCACCCGCTGATAGTTATTTTGGAAATATATTTCATGTACAGAATTGACCTCTGTACAGATTTATTATAAGTAATAGAAGATGTATAGGATGTAAGGTGGAATGTGTATTACTTTTTTACACAAAAACTACTAAACTACATGAATGAAATTTGGTACACATGCATGCGCAGAGCTGAAAGCCTGCCAGACAATTCTAAGAAAGACAATAGACAAATAAATAGGTTTATTAGAAGTTAGACTTTTTTTTTAATAAGGGCCTTACTTATATAATTGCAGATACAACTGTAGCTTCGAGGTGAAGGTGCGAAACGCGCAGGCAGCCGGCTACGACTGCGCGATCGTGCATAATGTGAACTCCACAGATCTTGGTGAGTGTAACCACAGTATAACTAATACCAGCTTACTACCATGGCTCAGGCAAAGAGCCGACTTTAATCTGCCCCTGGGATAATTTTTAACTACACCTCACAAATGATAAAAAGAAAAAAGTCACCGAAGGATCGGGAATATCAACCAGCCAACGTCGAAATAGTTGTGACTCTTTAATCAAATCCTAATGGAGCGTAATCTAGGTCATATAAGATTTAAATTAGGATCATCATTATAATTTACTTATTATCATTATACTTTGTACAAAAGTCGATTGCTTGGGTACCTCTGTCCCATTCGTGTTTCAACCGTGAAGCAGTTGTGTTTGCATGACTGTGTTTCGGTTTGAAGAGTGGGATATGGCGTGAATTTACTAGGTACAGAGGAATAACAACTAAGTCCTCAGGAATGGCAACGCATGGGGGGTATCATGGGCGAAACATTATACTCTGTTATATCCATGGTACTGCTCATGTCTATAGACGACGGTTACCACTTTCCATCAGGTGAGCAGTCAGCTTGTTTGCCATTCTGAGTTGTATAAAACATAACAATTTCATCCATTATCCGTCCACTGCTGGACATAAGTCTAAAATTAGGATTTTTTTCAGCTCGTAAACAAAGCCCCAAGTTTCTGTTCATCTAGGGGTGAGTAACATATAGCGATATCTATATATCGTGGTTACAATACCTATCTATTAGCCCAATAAAAAATATAGATAATTTATTTGCATTACTTACAGCACACAAATAGCAACAGACCTACACAGTAAAAAGAGAAAAAAAAAAGCATATACAAAAAAAAAAACAAAAATATACAAAACAAGTAACATTTTTTTTAATAATTCTAGTAACAATTTAATATATTAAATATCGATTAACCAATATAAACTAATAAAATGACACACCCGATTGTAATTAATATAAATATCCGACTGGTACGGCCCATATAGAAATGGATACGGCGTGACTGACACAGCTTGTTTCCTCGCCTACGCGAATCCCTGATGTGTTGGACCATTCACCTTCACTGCTGGACCTTCTGCTGACCACCCACCCAGACAACTATGTGATCTCCGTCGAAGCCCCGCTTGGATCGTCGGATCACTGTTTGGTGCGGAGCGAAGTGCCTCTTACGAGTCCGACTCCACCTCGTTCTACGGGTAGACGTCGCATTTGGCACTACAGGTCGGCAGATTGGGATGAGATGCGGATTTTTGTCGCATCTTACCCATGGAGGCGGGTTTGCTTCACACTGGATGATCCCGACGCCATTGCCGATTCCATTGCTGATGTGGTGCTTCAGGGAATGGAATTATTTATTCCTAACTCTGTGGTGCCCGTCGGCGGGAAATCCCAGCCCTGGTATGGAGCCTCCTGTAGAACAGCATCTCGTCTGAAACAGGAGTGCTTCCTAACCTGGGCTAAAGGTGTGGCGTCGCGAGATCCTAACACCAGTGCTCTTAAAAAGAAGTATAACTCTGCCTCTAGGTCCTTCAAAAGAGTTATAGCCACAGCGAAGTCAGAGCATATTAGTAGAATTGGCAAGAGATTGGCTAGTTTGCCCTCTGGGACTCGAGCTTTCTGGTCTCTTGCCAAAGCTGCACAAGGGAATTTCTGTAAGTCATCTTTTCCACCTTTGCGCAGGGAGGATGACTCGTTGGCCCAGAACGCTAAAGAAAAGGCCGATCTTCTTGGATCCATCTTTGCGTCAAACTCGACATTGGATGACGGGGAGAAACCACCACCGACCATCACGTGTTGTAGGAGCTCTATGCCTGACATTAAATTCACGCATAGCTCAGTGCGTAGAGCACTTTTCTCCCTCGAAATCCATAAGTCGAGTGGGCCTGATGGTATTCCTCCAATTGTGCTTAGGACGTGCGCACCAGAGTTGGCTCCGGTTCTTACGCGTCTTTTTCGGCTTAGCTACTCATCGGGCATAGTCCCAAAGTTTTGGAAGACTGCTCTGGTGCATCCGATCCCTAAAAAGGGAGATCGCTCAGATCCAGCTAACTATATAGCTATCACTTCCTTATTCTCGAAGGTTATGGAATCCATCATTAACCGTCAACTGCTCCGGTACCTAGAAGAGCACCGGCTGATCTGTGATCGCCAGTACGGCTTTCGACAGGGACGTTCGGCCGGTGATCTTTTAGCTTACTTAACACACCGATGGGCAGTGGCAATCGAGAGTAAGGGAGAGGCCTTAGCAGTTAGTCTGGATATTGCGAAGGCCTTTGATCGGGTGTGGCATAGAGCGCTGCTTTCAAAGCTACCTTCATTTGGGTTGCCTGCGAGACTGTGCATTTGGGTCGCCAGTTTTCTCAAGGAACGTAGCATTAAGGTCGTAGTCGACGGTGCATGCTCTGATTTAAAACCTTTGAATGCTGGTGTCCCGCAAGGCTGTGTACTATCTCCGACTCTGTTTCTTCTGCATATCAATGATATGTTACAGATAAGTAATATTCATTGCTATGCGGACGACAGTACAGGAGATACATTATATACCGGTCATGCAAAGATCTCGCGGGCACATACCGATGAGTGCCGGAATAGACTTGTGTCTGAAATCGAAACTTCACTCCATCAAGTTTCGATCTGGGGTGAACAAAATCTTGTCCAATTTAACCCCAAAAAGACACAAGTCTGCGCGTTTACCGCAAAAAAGACGCCGTTTGTCGTATCTCCTCACTTTCAGGGCACTTCCCTTGATAAAAAGTCAAGTCTAGGAATTCTGGGCGTTGATATATCTTGCGACGTCCAGTTTTGCGGTCATCTGGAGGAGAAGGCTAAGATAGCTTCTAAAAAGTTAGGAGTGCTCAATAGGGTGAGACGATATTTCATGCCAGAACACCGCCTGAAATTATATAAAGCCCAAGTCAGGCCGCATATGGAATACTGTTCTCACCTGTGGGCAGGAGCGCCACAGTACCAACTCCTTCCGTTAGACCGCATTCAAAGTCGGGCGGCTCGAATTATCGATAGTCAACGCCTTACTGTCCGACTTGACCCATTGTAACTGCGCAGAGATGTTGCGTCTCTGTGCATCTTCTACCGAATTTATCATGGGGAGTGTTCTGAGGAATTGTTCGGATTGATACCTGCTGCTGATTTTCACCACCGTACAACCCGCCACAAACTAAAGTTTCATCCCAATCATCTGGACGAGTGGCGGTCTTCCACCGTGCGTTTTTCAAGGCACTTTCTTCCACGCACAACCATTCTTTGGAATCAACTTCCAGCAGCAGTATTTCCGAACCGATACGACAACATAACCTTCAAGAAAGAGTATATTCCTTTTTAAAAGGCCGGCAGCACACCTGCAATGCCGCTGGTGTTGTGGGTGATCATGGGCGGCGGTAGTCACTTACCATCAGGTGAGCCGCATGCTCGTTTGCCCCCTGTGTTGTAAAAAAAAAAAAAAAATACGGACTTTTTTCCCGCCATCAATATTCTTTTTTTTTTATACAACTTAGAATGGCAAACAAGCTGACGGCCCAACTGATGGAAAGTAGTAACCGTCGCCTATAGACACGAGCAGTACCATGGACACAACAGAGTATACTGTTTCGCCCATGATACCCCCCATGCGTTGCCATTCCTGAGGACTCAGGTGTTATTCCTCTGTACCCAGTGAATTCACGCCATATCCCACCCATCAAACCGAAACACAGCCATGCAAACACAACTGCTTCACGGTTGAAACACGTATAAGACAGAGGTACCAAAGCAATCGACTTTTGTGCAAAGTCTCCTTCTGGTATTGGTACTGGTATAAATAATTTGGGTAGGCATAATAGGGTTAGTTTGATATGGGTCCCTGGACATATTGGGATTAAAGGTAATGAAATGGCCGATGAGTTGGCGAGAAAGGGATCAGAATCAAAAATGATAGGTCCCGAACCATATGTTGCACTTGCATCAAGTGTTGTTAACTCTGCCCTTGAGGAGTATGTGAAAAAAAAACAGCAAAAGGAATGGAAGACTTTGAAGGGTCTTCAACATTCTAAAAAGTTCTTAAATGACAATGTTGAAGGATGGGATAAGCTTATCTACAGCGGTGGCAGACAACAGGCAAGACTCATTATGGGTGCCTTAACTGGACATATGCCAATAAGGCATATACTACACAAGATAGGTCTATCTTCGGACACAGTGTGCAGACTGTGCGGGGAGAAATCGGAATCCATGGAACACTTGATATGCAACTGCGATTCGTTGGCAAGTATGCGTATGAGTCTACTGGGAACGGCTTATCCAGAACCAGGAGACTACAGATATCTTAAACCGCGGGATATCGTCAAGATAATACAAAGGATCTATGAAATGATGGTATAAGGCAGGGGGAAGCAGAAAAGATCCGTATGGGTCGACGTGCATCGGCTTAGCTGACCCCATATGCGAATATAAGATAAGATTGGTACTGGTATTCAAATTCAAAATATTTATTCATTCAATATCTAAAGAAACCCAATATATAGATACGGAGCGATACCGATATTACTCATCCCTAATCCATGCACACAATAAGTTCAAACTTCCGAGAAACATAGTTGTGATAATTTAGCGGAATAAGAAATGTGTTTCTATAAATAAAGAAATCATTATTTCATTGTTATCGATGACTACTGTAGACGTACACTCGCATACAGACGCTTTGAACATTTCTTAAGTCCGGTGTACATTTATTTATTTATTTATAGGATTACCGACATAAGATACAGCTAAACATTTCAATACAATACACTGGTAGATTAGATCTAACTGTTCTTACATTTATAGGCGACCATAGCGTGACTTGTGTTTGATAAACATTAAAATAGAATTAAATTATTAAATGTCATTAAATGAGTAAAGATATTAACAATATAAATAATGGAAATTGTAATTAAATTATTATAAATTATAAATAAATATAATGCAATGGCGAGGTACATCAACATTTTAATTTAGCCATGAATACAGAGTGACTATCGTTGTGAATATCAAGTTCAGGATTGGTTTTCACAATATCGTTATACAGACGCGTTATGCGGACGATAGGTGATTCGCGCCCCAAGTTTGTTTGGCAAGCTGCATTTTTAAATAGATTGCAAGGATGCCGCGGCACTCTAGTAGGTACATTGTATTCAAGTTTCTCCAGTAGAGGCGGGCAATCAATGTGATATTTTTTTTTGATAGATGAAAATGGTATGGTAACCGGATACGCTGGCGGAGCACCAGTGAAGGGTGATAGATAAGAATGAAAACAGGCCAGTTAGCCCATCATGATGAATTCTTCAGGAATTAACCATGGTAGTTTCTAGGGGGAACCGCGTGAAGGTCGATTTGGTTGGGTATATTGCTAGCAATGGGATTCTCAGTCTCCATTACTAACAATCCCTTTCCCCCCCAATGTGATTATTCACTAACTTATGAAGATATGAGTAAGATCTACGCAGGCATAGTTCATCAAGGTGAAAATATTGAATTTTGTTTTTGTAGGTTTTAATATTTCTTGATATTTTAAAACAATAAGCTACTAAACTACGAACGAATTTCCTCTGTATTTATATAATAATTTGTGTAATGTAATTTTTTCATCCGTGTGGTCCCGGCATAGAATAGGCCATCCCTTCCTTTCCCATGGGTATCGTAAGAGGCAACTGAGCGAGCTCGAGGAATGGGCAACAGCGTCCCTCTTAAAACATCTTTAAATCTTAACTGCGGTTGCCTGCCAAGCGTGGCAACTACTGACAAAACCTCCCAAGGGGGAGACTTATGTTCAGCAGTGGACCGTTTTTGTAGCACGAACGTGATGAGTCTGATGCAATACGGCCCGTCTGATGGTTAACAGTCATTAGCCTATGAACACCTGCAACACTGTTTGTCACGTGCGCGTCGCCGACCCTGAAGAAACCCCATTACCCCATTTTTGAACAACCCTATGCTGCAGTCTTTTGAAACCTTTCTTTAAAGTTGATTTAATTCTATAAATTACTAATTAATTATACCCTTTTTAAAGAACCCCATACTGTACTCTCTAGGGAAAACCTCGGTAATAACTACGTCACATTTTTTTTACCACATCTTCCTATCACCTTCATACGCTTTCTGTTTTTACCTATTGATTAGCTGGTAGAGAATGTCATATCGCATTAGGCTCACCTCTTGTACACAGTTTTATTGTGAAATATAGAATAAATAAATAAATAATTGACCCGACCATAACACAGTCTGCTGTTGTCCAATAAATAGTAGTAGAATAAAAAATCGATTGAAAAAAATATACTTTGTTGGCATTATCCAATATAGCGAATAAGCGAGACAATTAATAAATATAACGATACAAATAAAATTATTAACTAAATACAATATATAAACCTATATATATTTATGTTAAATATGTACCTAATACTAGAACAAATATATACAATTACAGGTATAAGAAAAACTAATTTATCTGTACTTATAATAAATCTGTAGAGAGGTCAATTCTGTACATGGAATATATTTCCAAAATAACTATCAGCGGGTGATTAGTGATCGATACTGATGCCATAAATGTAATCAGTAAAGTTTTTATCTGTCTATCTGTCTGTATATTCGTTATAGAAACAAAAACTACTCGACGGATTTTAACGAAACTTGGTACTAATTGTACCTTCTTCATATTCCTGGGCAGATTATAGTATACTTTTCATCACGCTACAATCAATAGGAGCAGAGCAGTGAAGAGAAATGTTAAAAATGTCCACCCGTGCGACGCAGGGACGGGCCGCTAGTATAAATTAAATAAATAAATAAAACATAAAGAATGCCAATTTATCAAATGAAAATAAAGAAATATTTTTGTTTGAATGAGCTTCGATTTGAGCATTTTTGAATATTCTTTTTTTTTATTTTTGATCGATTAAATGTTTCGATTTATTACTAATTTCATTTAGAAAGTGTTTCTCTGATAATTTCCACAAAACTTGATTACCTTTTTATTTTATTCCATTGAAATAGGATATGTATAGACGATTTTGTACAAAGTATCCCTCCCTCTAAGACACTTAATTTTTTTTTTATACAACTTAGAATGGCAAACAAGCTGACGGCCCACCTGATGGAAAGTGGTAACCGTCGCCTATAAACATGAGCAGTATCATGTACATAACAGAGTATACTGTATCACCCATGATACCCCCCATGCGTTGCCATTCCTGAGGACTCAGGTGTTATTCCTCTGTACCCAGTAAATTTGATTCCACGACATTACAGCGCACACTAATGGTGTGGGCTGTAATGTCGTACATAAAACTCTTAATATTATTGGAATTAATATCATTGTTATATAAAACTGTTGTTATCAATACATAATTAAGAAGTAAACAAGTGATAATAGTTCAAATCTGGCCAAGCGCTAGTCGAATTGCGCTCTAAGGACCCCTTATTAAAATATTAGGTACATTTAATACACAAAACTATACAAAATTTAGGATTTTGTATATTGAAACAATCTGACGGCCCACCTGATGGAAAGTGGTAACCGTCGCCTATAGACATGAGCAGTATCATGCACATAACAGAGTATACTGTTTCGCCCATGATACCACCACCCATGCGTTGCCATTCCTGAGGACTCAGGTGTTATTCCTCTGTACCCAGTAAATTCACGCCATATCCCACGCTTCAAACCGAAACACAGCCATGCAAACACAACTGCTTCACGGTTGAAACACGAATCGCGAGCAATCGACTTTTGTACAAAGTCTCCCTCTGGTGAATTACTTTAATACCACTATCTTTGAATACGGAACCCTAATAATCAATTACATTGATATTTACGTGCGCGGGTGTACATTATCTAGTCACGCATTCACCCTCTTCGTAAATAACCAGTTTGTTGTTGTGAGAACGTTCACTGTGTTCTTTTGTTGTGTATTCTAAATATATTGTTTAAATATTTATTAATTTATAATAATTTTCCTATGCTTTTGATACAAATGAGTTAATAAAGGTGAAATTGTGAAGTGTATTCTAAATTTAACCTTTTTTATGGTCGGTTCGTTTATATTGTAACAAAAATGATGGACATAATATTCGTAAGTATTCAATTTTTTTTTTTTATTTCTTTTTAACAACACAGGGGGCAAACGAGCATGCGGCTCACCTGATGGTAAGTGACTACCGCCGCCCATGATCACCCACAATACCAACGGCATTGCAGGCGTGCTGCCGGCCTTTTAAAAAGGGATTTTTTTTTTAAAGGTTACGTTGTTGTATCAGTTCGGAAATATTGCTACTGGAAGTTGATTACAAAAAGTGGTTGTGCGTGGAAGAAAGTGCCTTGAAAAACGCACGGTGGAGGACCGCCACCTAATGTACCTCATCATCGTCATATTTGTCTACTGCTGGACATAGGCCTTCCCCATAAACGGAACAGAACCAAGTCACGTGCATCCGCTGACTCCCTGCAGTTCATTTGACCTCGTCACTTCATCCAGTGGAGGGTCGCCCTTTTGCCTGTACTGGATTGCAACTCGGGAAGCTTTATTCCCCATCGGTTCTTCGAACTGTGACTAGTACATTTAGCACTAGCACCAGAGGGAGACTTTGTACAAAAGTCGTTTGCTTTGACACCTCTGTCCCATTCGTGTTTCCACCGTGAAGCAGTTGTGTTTGCATGGCTGTGTTTCGGTTTGAAGGGTGGGATATGGCGTGAATTTACAGGGCACAGAGGAATAACACCTGAGTCCTCAGGAATGGCAACGCATGGGGGGTGGTATCATGGGCGAAACAGTATACTCTGTTATGTCCATAGTACTGCTCATGTCTATAGATGACGGTTACCACTTTCCATCAGGTGGGCCGTCAGCTTGTTTGTCATTTTAAGTTGTATAAAAAAAATTATAATAAATATACTTATTATAAGTACTTAGATGTATGTAAGGTATACATATGTTTATTTGTATATGTTTTATTAACATAAACGTTTTTTAATCTTCTTGTTCTAAAGGCTACCGTCTTTTTTTTTTCTCCTCTACCCAAAAGTTTTTTTTTATGGGTGAAAATGATATGGTAGCCCCGCCTGCGCTAACGGGATACGCTGGCGGAGCACCAGTGATGGGTGATAGATGAGAATGAAAACAGGCCAGTAAGCCCATCATGATGAATTCATCTGGAATTAAGCATGATAGTTTCCAGGGGGAACCGCGAGGAGGTCGACCTGGTTGGGTATATTGTTAGCAATGGGATTCTTAGTCTCCGTTACTAACAATCCCTTTCCCCCTTCTACCCAAAGGTTGGCTGGAAGATATTATATTATTCTTTAAGTGGTAAAGCTACATAAATAGTAAATAAATAAATAAAAGCGTTTGTTTGTTGCAGAAACGATGTCGGCAAAGAATGCTGACGACATACTGATCCCGTCTGTGTTTGTCAACAACGTGACCGGCTACCTGTTGCGGGAGAACTACCTGTATGATAGCGGGTCAGTTACATTGTATCAATTTATAGTATACGTTTTAAAATATGTCACTTGTGAAATCCCATAATACGTTATGGGATTTTAAATAACATGGTAATAGAGATTTATTGCACATAATCTATACTTATAATAAATCTGTGGAGAGGTCAATTCTGTACATGAAATGTATTTCCCTAAATAACTATCAGGGAGTGATTAGTGATCGATACTGATGCCAAAAATGCAATCAGTAAAATTTTTGTCTATCTGTCTGTATGTTCGTTATAGAAACAAAAACTACTCGACGGATTTTAACGAAACTTGGTATAAATATTCTTCATACTCCTGCGCAGGTTATAGTATACTTTCATCACGCTACGATCAATAGGAGCAGAGCAGTGAAGGGAAATGTTAAAAATGTCCACCCGTGCGACGCCGGGACGGGCCGCTAGTAGTACGTAATTATGGTCTACACCAGGGGTTCCCAAACTTATTTTGTCTGCTGCCTACTTTGAGAATAAATGATTTTTTAGCGCCCTCATTTTTTCACCTACTTACCCCTTTAGTCCTGCAGCGCCCACAAGGGAGCGTTATTGCCCACTTTGCGAAAGGCTAGTCTACAGTAACTACAAAGTTACACCCTAACAGATCGACTTTTACGACCTAGCAGTTCCCCTTGGAAACCGTCGTGGTTAATTCTAGTGGAACTCGTGACGGTGGGCTAACTGACCTGCCTTTTCATGCTCAACTATCATTCCTCACTGGTGCCCCGCCAGCGTATACTGATAGCGCAGGTGGGACTACCATTCCATTAGCAACCATTAAAAAAAAACAGGTAGCTTCGTCATTAATCATACAGCGTCATAATGTTCATGGTATTGTCTCGTTGCAGGTTCTACTTGATGGTGAACGGTGATATGCCGTTCAATATTAACACCAACCTGCTGGTGCCGTTCGTGGTGGTGGTGGCGCTGTGCCTGGTCGTCATACTCATCAGCATGGTGAGATAATCAGAGCACATAACATTGTTGAACAATGCTATCCGACACATAACTTTCTCGATAAGTCATGGTAAAATTAGAAAAATGCTCCAAATTTACTTTTTCTTTTTTTTTTTAGTATAAAAGACTAAAAAAAAAACAAAAAGTAAAAATAAAGACTTAAGCTCTATTTACCCGTAAGATATTAATAAAATTGTTGATATATATATATATATATATATATATATATATATATATATATATATATATATATATATATATATATATATATATATATATATATATATATATATATATATACGAGGTTTGTCCGGAAAGTACGTATAAAAGTTTTTTAAAAATTTTATTTTACAATTATTCAGGTAAATCAATTTTATCCCCTTCAAAGTACTCCCCCTGTGACATAATGCACTTGTGCCAACGCCGTTTCCACTGTGAGAAGGCTCCTTGAAAGTCCTCTGGTTGTAGGTTTCTCAGCTGCCCCGTCGTAGCTTTTTTTATCTCATTTATGTCCCCCAAATGCCGCCCCCGAAGTACCAATTTGGTTTTTGGGAACAAGAAGAAGTCACACGGGGCCAAATCCGGCGAATAGGGGGGGGTGTTCGGTCACCGTAATGGAATTTTTACTCAAAAACTCACGGACAACAAGAGAGGTGTGGGCAGGGGCATTGTCGTGGTGAAGAATCCAACGCCCCTCTCGCGCCAATTCTGGACGAACTCGTGCCACACGAGCTTTGAGGCGTCTGAGCACATCGACGTAGAATTTTCCATCAACTGTCTGGCCTGGAGGGACGAATTCTTGATGGACAATCCCCCGAACATCGAACTCTTTCTCGGCCCTCTCTGAATCTTTTTAGCCACTTGTGGACGGTTGGTTCCTTCACAGCATCATCCCCATAAACTGTTCTGAGATCGGCAAAAATTTCACGGCCATTCTTTTTTTTCGAGAGAAACTTGATTACGACGCGCTGCTCTTCAACGGAAGCGGGCTCCATGCCGACGGGGTTTCGTTAAGAGGTAACTTCACAGATGGCGTGACAAAAGTTCGCACCGCACGGCGGTCAGACCAGAACTGAAGCATTGTTAGGGACATAAGGAAGGGGTCCTGCGCTTACCTGGCCTCCCCACTCCTCTTTCTCCCATTCCAGAACACTTTTATACGAAATATATATATATATATATATATATATATATATATATATATATATATATATATATATATATATATATATATATATATATATATAGGTTTTTGGGTAAATTCGTTGAACAATTTAAAATTGTGTTCCACGAAAAAATCCGACTTCAATTGTGGCGAAATAGTGGCCAGTTATTTTTATTTTAAAACTAAACTTTTGAACCGGTTTTAATAAAATTTCTACAAGCAAGTTTACATCCTTTCAGTTGAAAAAAGAATTTTCCAAATCGGTTTGTCACTGACGCTGTTATAAGGTAACAAGTAGAACCAAAAAAATGCGACCTAATTGAAAACTTCATTTGTTTTTGAAGTCGGTTGAAAAGACATAATTTTCTAAGAAAAAAAAATATTTAAGTTTCAATATGATCATACAATGCCGTGTGGTCCGGGCGTAGAATGGGCCGCCCCCTTCTTTTCCCGTGGGTGTCGTAAGAGGTAACTAAGGAAACTTAATGGTCGAAGGATGGATAGCAGCGTCTCTCTTAAAACATCACCAAAAACCTAACAGTTGCCAACCCGCCTACCAAACGTGACAACTACAGACAAAAATCCCCGTATAATGGAAGCCTATGTTTGAAGATATTTTTAAGAATCAATTATTACAGTGGACGTGTGTATAAACGGTATTTACCATGTTGGTATTGCACAGGTGCTGAAGTGCACGCGCGACCGGCGGCGGGCGCGGCGACACCGGCTGCCGAGCCGCGCACTCAAGAAGATCCCCACGTGCAAGTTCAGCAAGGTGGTGCCGTACGACACGTGCGCCATCTGCCTCGACGACTACCAGGACGGCGAGCTGCTGCGCGTGCTGCCCTGCGCCCACGGTTAGTGCACGCACGCCCACGCGCACGTACACACACGCACGTGCACGCATACAACCATACTTGTACACTTACCGCTGTTGGAGAAAGCTTATTAAAATAATATGTAAGAGGAAAAAGATAGAGTAAGAAACAGTGTGATTAGAGAGAAGTGTGGACTGAAAGTCGATGTAGTGACTAAAATCGAAAAAGGAATGTTGCGTTGGTTTGGTCATTTGGTGAGGATGGATGAAAGAAGAATTACGAAAGAGATTTATCAAGCAAGAATGAATGGAGATGTCGGTACGGGCCGCCCTAGACGGACGTATGTTAACCAAATAAGCGACTTGCTGAAGAAGGGCCAAATTAAAAGTACCCGTAACCGGCGAGCGTGTATGAAAAGATTGATGAATTTGGAAGAAGCGAAAGAGGTTTGTTTGAATTGAAGCATTTGGCGTTCCATTGTTTCTGCCTACCCTAATGGGAGACAGGCGTGACAAAGATGTATGTATGTATATGTGTATGTATGTATGTAGGAAAAAGGCATCGGTCTTCAAGTTTTATTAGTAGACAAGCGCACTACAATAGAACGTCGATAATAAAAAAAGAATTAATATTTTTACCACTGAGGTTATCTACTCTAACGACGTCCACGAGTCCACCCACGCACATGTATGCACTTCCACGCGTACACCCGTACTCAAGTACGTTAACATATACGCGCGTATATATACACGCACGCGACACTCATTCTTCGTATATACGATAATGTTGTTAAAATTGTACCCTTTACTTATTATCCACTAATATAAAGTTTTTAGCCGTGTGGTCCTGGCATAGAATAGGCCATCCCTTTTTTACCCGTGGGTGTCGTAAGAGGCGACTAAGGAGAGCGAGGGATGTGCAGCAGCGTCCCTCTTAAGACATCTCTAAAGCCTAACTGCGGTTGCCAATCCGCCTGCCAAGCGTGGCAACTAGTGGCAAAACTTCTCAAGGGAAGGCTTATGTTCAGCAGTGGACAGTAAAAGACTGATATGATAAGGTTCATTATCGACTAATATAAAATAAAAGATTTTGTTTCACAAAACAAAAAGAGATCAACTTAAATTGTTGCAAAACCAGTTATTTTTATTTAAAAACCAAACTGCTGAAGCATTTTTGTAAGCATAGTCCCCCCCCCCCCCCTCCCCCTCTAATAGTCTCCCCCTTAAATACGCCTATACCAAGCGGACGACTTTTAAGTCTCTCTCTGGTGATTTTTCAAAGTGAGTGCATTCTGAGGTGTGTGGTGGTGCCCGCAGCGTACCACGCCAAGTGCGTGGACCCGTGGCTGACGCAGAACAGGCGCGTGTGTCCCGTGTGCAAGCGGCGCGTGCTGGCCGCCGGCGAGAGGCCGCGCGGCCGCCGCGGCCGGGCCGCCCCCCGCGCGGACACCTCCGACCGCTCCGACTCCGACTCCAGCGACACCGAGCCGCTCATCGCCGACTCGCCGCCCGCCACGCAGGTCTGTCCATCCACAATAACACCATATACTCTTTTAACTTCTTTTATTGGCTTATGGGGTCATCTAAGCCTTTGCACGTGGAGGGAAGGGGTTGTTAGTAATGGAGTTTAATGAACCCATTGCTAGCAATATACGCTATCAAGTCGACCTCCACGCGGATCCCCCTGGAATTTGTCGTGGTTAATTCTAGTGGAATTCGTCACGATGGGCTAACTGATCTGCCTTTTCATTCTCACCAATCACCTCTCACTGGTGCTCAGCCAGCGTATTCCGATAGCGCAGGCGGGGTTACCATACCATTATCACCCACAAAAAAAACCTATATTTGTATGTGTAACTTAGTACCCCTTCTGTCTTTTATTAAATATGGATTGAAAGAAAAGCTAACGGCCCACCTGATGATAAATGGTAACCGTCACCTAACCACTAACAATACCTAGATATTACAGAATATACCATAATACCCATGGTACATCATACATGTTTATTCGAATAAGCAATTTATGTAGTCCAAATCAGTGTTTCTCAAACTTTGTCAGGGCGTGACCCCTTTAGTATATTAAAATAATTTGCAACCCCCTACCCTACGCGGTTCCTAATAATTGTTATTTACTTAAACACGGTGAAATCAAAGATGTTGTATTAGTCAAAGAACATTCGTGCTTAGTTAACAACGTGATAGCATGCATGCAAATATATATTTTATTACATTATAAATGTCAAATCTGCACATTTTTATTTATATTCATATTTAGTTATCGGTTAAATACAATAAATAAATAATGTATTATATGTATTAATTATATTATTATATATATCACATCTCCCATATTTAGAACAAACAAAATTTTCCATCGTGCCTCCCACCAAACTGTTTATAATTACTCCTCTCCATCCAAAGGTTGCCTGGAAGAGATCGCTCTTAGCGATAAGGTCGCCCATTGTTTTCTCATTGTGATTATTTCTTGTAATTGTTTATATTTATAATAAGTTTACTATTGTAATCTTTTGGAGGAAACAATAAAGAGTATCTATCAATCTATCTATCTAATACATAACGAAGTAGCTTAAACAGACATCGATTACTTTGCGAAACTGTTGTTTTTTTACGGCTTTACGACCTTCTGCGACCCCTTTGTAGAAGTTTGGGGACCCCCTAGGGGGTCGTGATTCACACTTTGGAAAACACTGGTCTAAATAATGTGTCTTTTGTACCAGGGTGGTACGTTCGAGCCGCAGCGCGAGAACCCGTTCGTGCGCGCGGCGCGGCTCATGGGCCGGCTGCGGCGCGGCCGCCAGCCGCCGCCGGACCAAGCGGCGGACAACCCCGAGGAACAGTATGTAGTCTATATGTATTACACAACAAAAAAGCAATGTCTCACACAAATGTTTCACGACGTACACAAAACTTAGTTAATTCAAGTATAAACTCACAAAACATGGTTGTTTTTTGGGTCTATTTCTAATGTATATCTCTTATCTTTATTCCCGTGTTTACCTTATATATTTATCACTGTTTTATATATTATTCTTATATATTTATACATTACATCTCTTGCACGCATGTGTCCGTGAGTTACGTATTTAGGGCCTACTTTGCACAAACACTGCAACATTCATTTGTTTTTTATATGTATTTCTTTTTATTCTAAATTAAAAAAAAATATATGGTAAATTAATTATTAGATTTATTAGTTGACTCTTTAAAAATCAAGGAATCTAGAGCAGCGTTGTTTAAACGATTGTCTTGACGTCTATGCAGCAACGAAATATATTTTTAATGTACAATGTAATCCAACACGTGTAAAATTTGATATTTTAATATACAACACACTTAAAACAGTTTCATTATCTTAGTCACCAGAGGGAGACTTTGTACAAAAGTCGATTGCTTCGGCACCTCTGTCACATTCGTGTTTGTACCGTGAAGCAGTTGTGTTTGCATGGCTGTGTTTCAGTTTGAAGGGTGGGATATGGCGTGAATTTACTGGGTACAGAGGAATAACACCTGAGTCCTCAGGAATGGCAACGCATGGGGGGTGTCTTGGGCGAAACAGTATACTCTGTTATGTTCATGGTACTGCTCATGTCTATAGACGACGGTTAACACTTTCCATCAGGTGGGCCGTCAGCTTGTTTGCCATTCTAAGTTGAATAAAAAAAAAACTCTTGTGTAGCACTGGTCGTATGAAAATAATGCCAACCAACAGGAGTAGATGACGTAAATCGTCCGCTGAGTTTAGTATATCACATAAGTAAACGTAGAGTGACCTCGACGATCTTCCGTCTATCGAATAGTCTCCTGGTGCGAGCACTCCGCAAATTTATAGGGTTACGTGGGTACTTTTATCGAAAAATCAGGCCCTCTAGACAAGTGGCAAGCGAATTCGTCGATGGAATCGACATCACTAGCGAGTCCGTGAGACAGAATGAGATAGCAACATCGGGTGACTCTCTCTCTCTTTCTTTCTCTCTCTCTTTCTTTCTCTCTCTCTTTCTTTCTCTCTCTCTTTCTTTCTCTCTCTCTTTCTTTCTCTCTCTCTCTCTTTCTCTCTCTCTCTCTTTCTCTCTCTCTTTCTCCCTCTCTCTCTCTTTGTGTGTCTCTTTCTCACTGTATCTTTCTTTCTTTCTCTCTTTCTGGGGGAAGCTTATGTCCAGCAGTGGACGGATAATGTTTGAAATGATGATGATGATGATATTGAAGCGATGCGTTTCGCTTGTCCCGCAGCGGCGACGCAGCGGACGACACGGAGCGGCTGCTGCCGGCCACGCTGGCGGCGGAGGCCGAGCGCGAGCCGCGCCGCCGCGCGCCGCGCGAGCGCCGCCGCCGCGCACGCTCCGCTCACTCCGCGCCCGCCGCCGCCGCCGCCGCCGCCGCCGCCGCCGCCGCCGCCGCCGCGCCGCCGCCGCCGCGCCGCCGCTGCAGCCCGAACGACACTCCATCAACTCGGAGGACCGCGGCGAGATCGGTACGTGCGCGCGCACTGAAGCGGTTTATAATGCTAGTACGCAATTAGCTAACTCGGCAAACGTTTTTATCATCTACCGCCACCTATCGGCTCCATTTTCTCTTATCGGAATAAAAAGTATTCTATCTTTCAAATTGGAGCAATCAATCATCATCGTATCAACCGTGTACTGATGAACGTAGATTTCCCCCTAATGCTAATGGCTGCATGCCACACTTAACATGTGGATTGGCAACAATTACAATATTTCATTCAAATCGGTGTTTGTATTTCATTCAAATTTCAAAACGTGAACAAACACCATTATACATATTTTTTTATATTTAAAATAAATAACTATATTTCTTTGTGGGATAGTCAAAGATTACTTCAATAAATACCCATCTGAAATTTTAACTGGAGTTTAATTTTCCTATTATTTTGAAAGAATAACACAGAGAATTTGAAACCTGCGGTTTTTTCTAATACTCGATCATACTTTGTTTTCTTTCCTAACAATTCTGCAGTATATTTTAAATAATATATAACTAAATCCATTCATTTTTCGCCAATCGTTATCCCAATTTTGTCTATTAATATTGTATTTACTTTCAAAGTTGATACTAAAGTTTCTCCGTGTGTCCGTCAGGTGTGGCGGCGCTACCGGCGCAGCACCACGTGGCCTTATGAACGCACGGCCGTGCGCCGCCCGCGACCGCTCGCAGCAAGCTTCACGCCATAGTCTAGACTACCGGCTCAGGCTTCAATGACAACTTTACATTGGACAATTAATAAGTAGAAACATTTCTATTAATAAACCAAAGTGTAATAAGTTTCCGCTGTTTATATTGTTTGGTTAAAAACTAGTTATAGCTTTACTCTCGTTATCAACCGACCGGCAACTGTCTCACTTCACCCAATTGAATATTTGTTCAACACTTCATCAGAGTTAAGAGACGCGAGCGTTTATTGAAGACGCGGGGTCTTTTCTGAACTGTCATTATGTCATGTTTGATAATTCCATCTGTGTAGAAATATATACCATAGTATAGTTTAATTTAAAAAAATATAAACCAACATGAGACATTTGGGCGAGAAAATTGGAGGTCTGCTATCAAATGAAATTTCGGACTCAATTTCGTACTTTCGTTCATACCAAAATATTACCCATAAAATGGAGCTTAACATATCGTTTAAAAGTTTAAACAACGGATATTTTAACATTTTTAATAATTTTAAACTGCGTTTGTTATGTAATTTTAATATTAAATTATTGTTTCGTTCAGCCCCGAAATTTCAAATTTTTGTAGTAGACTTTCAGTATTGCCATTTGGAAAACTAAATTAAATAAAATCGCAAGTACATAATAAAAGTATTTAGGATATGTAATAATTTGTTCTAAATCATTTTGGACTGCAAATTTGAATATATTTGTAAATTTTATCGTATGATTTGATATAATAAAAAGTTATGTCGCATAATTAAAACAGTATTTCTATTATTAAAAAAATAAATTTCACCAAAGAGAACATACTGTTTGACTTATATGAAAACTGTTGTCTATGGCATTTTATTGAAGGACCCCTATTTCTGTCGACTATTATTAGTTTAAAATGTTTAAATGATAATCTTGTACGTACTATTAGACATTAGATTTATGTGGGTACTAGCTTTTGCCCGCGACTTCGTCCGCATGACCAGGATAAAAACCTATGTCCTTCTCCATGCCATATGGTACGTCTTTACCAAATTTTATAACAATCAAATAAACTCACTATAAAATATGAAATTTTATAATATTAACAAGAATGAAATTGAAAATAGATTCGGAAAGAGAATTGGAATGAATTAAAATTATATTGTGTCGCTATACGGAGCTTCCGATTTGTAAATTGTATATGACAATTAAAAAAAGGCTAATATTAAAAATTTACGTAAGATTTTGCATTTTCATCAGATTATGCAGTTATGTTTGAAATTTAATGAAGTGAGGAATTATTTTGCTCATAATTATTTTAATCCTGTCTCGAAATAATTTATATTATAGAAAATTGTAACCAAAGTAGATGCAAGTAATAATCAAAGTAATTATCTATTTTGTTGTAAAAGCCTATGTTTTAAATTAAAAATACATATGTCATTAATTATTTTTTACGTTGTAATTTTAATGGGGCGTAAACAAGTAGCAAATGACGGGTAGGGGGTTACTCCAATCGCTCGCAAGCAACTGTAAGCACAATCACTCGCGTCTCGTCGATCGTCTTTTGCCTTTTCCCCACAGCTGTACATTTGCGGTGTTTACTGTGCATCAATATGAAATGCCTTAAAAATCTTTTGCTACTTGTCACAAGCAAATAATACGTTCGTATTTTAATAATGCGACATCTTAAAAGCAGTTTTATCAGTACCTTATTTATATTTAAGTTCATGATATAACTTTATAATACTTGCTCTCACTGTTGATCAATTTTATTGTAATTTTTTTTACTCCAACCACTCAGTTCTTTCAAAGGATTAATCGTCAAATAGAACGGAATTAACTTACCCGTTCTAGTATATATCTCTTGATATCGTTCAATGATGCAGTATAGATAAAAAAAAACTTTGTACTAGAAATGGGTAATATATTATCTATATATTTTAGTTAAAATATTTATATACTGATCTAATGACGAATATGTCAAAAATCTGTTATCCAAAAAATAATAATGGATAACAGACTTTTAACATATTCGAAAATAGATATCCGACCGACGTGGGCGATGACCTTTTTTCCGCCGTCAGTGTCCAGAGTAAACCTTTGTACAGATCCTACGAAGGAACTGAGAGTGTGGCATTTTTTATCTGTATAATAAAGCATAATATATTGATTATAAATATTCACATAAATATTTATTCATTGGGTAATTTTAGTTGCGGTTGATAAAGTAAGCGGTTGTGAGACGCGACCGCAGTGTTTCAGTAGTGGGCTTACTGCGTATTAATACTGTATATACGAATAGATGTAACTGGTATTTTAAAGGTGACTATTATAGGGAGGATAGATGTGAAAATACTAATTGACAGACTAGTTTAATGTGTTGATAATCTCGTTGTATAGGCACAGAGGAGCTACGTACAGAACGCACGGTTTTTAATCAAATAACCGATAGCCAAATAAATGTAATAGAATTGTGACGTCCTCAGTATTTGTCTTATTTATAGGTGACGGTTTACAGATTAATTATTGATTAAAATGTGCATTCTGTACGTTATTGCTCTGAGATATATATAGGTTAGAATAAAAAAGTTTCATACAATGTTCTCTCCAAATATACTATAAATTTTTGGACCTCAGGAGCTGAGCAGACGATGTACAATGCCAGCATTCGCATTATTTGTATATCCCGCGACGATGCCTTTGAAATCATATGCATTAGCCAACATTGGAGAAAAGACTTGAGCACAACTTGGGATTACATTCATTCATTTCAAACTAAACTTTCCAAGTTACCTGCTGTGTCCAGATATTCTGTTTATTCATTGTCTGAAGGTCGATTAGTTCGTTCTAAAAACCGTAGTGTTACTCAGATGACAAAAACCAGTAAATTATTTTTCGGTACTGGCAACATGTAGTGTTTTTTAAAAATACAAAAATTCAATCTGTATTTTTTAAACTTCAGTCAATAATATATATGTTTAAATATGTAACTGACGTGTATAATTTTTTAGTAAGATTTGATGTATGTTTAGTTTGCGGGGAGCAATTTTAAATTTTCTGTAATGACGGTCGTGGTGAGAGGAATGTTAGTGTAAAATCAAGTAAATTTTTCAGTCTAAATATAATGAAACCTACGTCAAAATCGGTCCATCATCAAAAATTTTACAACACAACACATGTAAATGAAGCAAGACATTGCGTAAGAGTATGTACCCCTTAGTATTTTTAATACAACTAACATAAATATTAAGTATGTAAACCACAAAAACATGAGTTAACTTTGATTATATCATTTTGTATATTATTTATAGACTTAGAAACATGTATATATAAAACAGATTAATAGATTTACCTACATGTTTTTCATTTTCGGGAACGCATTGATAAAGAGTTATTGTGAATAGAGAATTGACATATTTTGTTGATCCTTTAAACCGGATTAACTGGGTGTTACTTAAGAGTAAATACGCACTGAAAAATTGTATCGAGCGAATTTTCGCATATTCTCTGCGTAAGATTTGGAACTTGTATGAAGTTTTACGTATTGTATTTTCTACACACGTGAAAATAATCTATACTTGACACTTATCCATACATAACTATGTGAAAAAAAGTCCCAGTGCGTATTAACCCTGATAAAAATAGAGGAAGTTTTTTTCTGTTGCTTAGATAAACTCACTCGTATAGAATGCGTTCTCCTTTTGATGCCATATTTATACTAAAAGCATAATAAATGTTAATTTAATAATATTGGAACGAATTCATAGTGTTATCAGTTAACCGAGCCGGTTTTTGATCTAAGGTCTTGGTGTTGTTTTTTAATCTGTCCTGTAGGCAGGCAAAGATAGACAATACAGCTTATTAAGCTGTGACTATAGTAAGAAAATATTGCTCTCTCGCTCGCCTATAAAGCACTTATTACACGATCATAGATTAAGCTCAATTTTGTTTTGAATATAACCAGAGGAATTAGAAATTTTATTGTATCATTGTAGAATTGGTGACAATGGGTAATCTTAACTACAATATGCACAAGTCTTAGCTCAGGAACGGACTCGATTGTATTGGACCTCTTAGTTTTATTACTAATCATTGTGACTACATCCGAGTCGAAACTTTTCTGATTGTATATATCTGATAGTTCTCTTATATCACTTAAGTTTTTGGCTTCGGGAAAAAATGTGTCAAGCGACACTTAGTTATAAAAATCAAAACAATAAAAAATATGACACTATTTCACTTGTTTTATTATCAAAAAGCCATCCATCCATTATTATATATTCTCACTGGACTTCTTTTTTACAGAATGGTATCAAATAAGTTTTATAACGTCGATTATTTTTATCATTTTAAACGAAAACTTATATTTTTAAATACATAGTATGGATCAGCCTAAAAAAATCTTTATCATTAAATTACGTTCACAATTGGCCAAGATATCGCATGGCGTAAAACTTTTTGAAATAGCTTAATAATAAATTCGTGATTGTAAATGACAATGGTAGAACAGTGACGTTGTATATTTAGGAGGGATTAAGTCTAATTAATATACAGTATTTTCATTGGAAGTCCAGTCTACGTTGTGTCATTCTAACGCGCGGGCTTCTGCTATCAGATTTCTGGCCTGTTCAAGAGCTTTCCTGCAAATAAAAGAACACAACAACATTGTAAGTATCGACTTAGAAGAAATATATTCTTGTAAATTACATAAATAATACATTTATATTTTTTTTTATACAACTTAGAATGGCAAACAAAATATTGTAACAAGGGTGAACTTATCTCTGACAGAGATCTCTTTCAGCCAACACAATACAATGAGAGAGCATATAGTTAGCGGGCAGCTAAAATGCACGAGTACTGTACAAACAAAATCAATACTAATTTATTCATAATTCACAGAATTTATCGGTTTTAATGAAACAAAAACCTATAGAATTAAAAAAAAAACTTTCTGAGTACCAGTCACCGTAAATGGATAACGTTGTTATCCATTTTTATCTCATAAAAAAGTAAATGATGTATATACACGTCTTAGATTATATAGATAGATTTGTCTCCATACAAATGTTTCGCTAAAAATAAGTCAACTTTTTGTCAACTCTGTGAATAGGGTTACTATAATGCACGTATTTATTACTCAATATACGACAGAAATTATATTGTATGGTTAAATTAACAAAAAAAAAAAAACAAAATCGATAAAAAAAAAATTACGACGTTATTTGAAAGAACAAAATTAGTAGTGCATAATGGTTCGTGATGATTTATATGAGTATAGACAGAAAATAGGTTTTTATTTTTAATTATTGAAAATAATCGTCATTTTAATTAATATCATGTATATCAATTTGTAAGCAACATATACATATGTATATTTATATTATAATAGAAAAAAAATTGTTTAATTCTTATTTCAAAAACTAATCTGGGAAAGTTTTAATCCAATAACTGGCAACACTGGAAAAACAACCATACCTCATATTAGCAGATTAAATTTGGGACACGTTTTTAAGACTCGATGCTTCGTCTACATCATCTAAGATAAATACAACGATATAAGCATACGTGATCGCATAGAGGGCGCACGGCGGATACTCACAGGTGCATGGGGTTGTCGGTGTGCAGGTGCTGCAGCACGAGGTGCGCCAGCGCGGCCAGGCGGGCGAGCGCGCGGTCCCGCAGCGCGCCGGCGCGGGGCAGCGACGCCGCCAGCGCGGCCGCCGCGCCCGCCGCCGCCACCGCGCCCGCCGCCGCCGCCCGCCGCCGCCGCCGCCGCCGCCGCGCCCGCCGCGCAGCACACCGTCTCTGCAACACGCACTTCGTCAACATACCACGCTCCTCAGACTTTTTACTTCAATGTGTACTGACCACAAACAGACGTGATGATCTACTTATTGTGAGGAAACGTCTTCAATCAGCGATTCGGGCAAAAATATTATATTTCTTGGCCGACACCTTGTATAGTATATTACTGCAGCGGCCAGCAACTGAGGCATTGATGGACGAACGTGCAAATGTGGGCCGAGGCGTAGCCGAGGCACACATACGTGAGTCCATCAATGCCTAGTTGTGGCCAAGGCTTGTATAGTACTTTTCTCAAACAATGCGCGGAATTCAAAAACACAATTTTACTTTTTAAGTTCAATGACGAATAAATAAACGAATAACAATAATAATGTTTCACGCGCCATAATGTTCCTTTGTTTTTTTTTTCAATAAACAGCTTTATATTTGCAAGCCAGTTCGAAATTTAAATAAAACCTTTTATTAGTTACCTCCTTGGTCGCCATGTTTCAAAGTAAAAGGTCATTTCATTTTTAAATAACAGGACAGATATATCTGGCCTGGATAATTTATTTGGCCGCAAAACACGACAGATATGGATTTTCAGACAACTTTTGCCGGCCGCTGCCGCATGTATCTGGCCAGTACGGCAATTTTGATTTATCTCGAAGAAGATTGTTAAAATAACGCTCACATTTCCAAGCATATTTGAGAAAAATATTTTTACTCATACATTTTTAATTATTCGGATGTTGGAGGGGTGTGTTATGTTATCATAAACAATCTATATAATCGACATTATATTATAAAGAATACGATTAAGAGTTTTCATACTTAAGTAAAATAACAGAGTACTTTCCATCGAATTCCAAAAACAAACATTTTTCAATATTTCTCTGTAACATTTTTTTTTTTTCTAATTATATATCATATTTTAATTTCGAAATCTGCCTATAATAGTGCGTAACCAATTATGTGCCCTTAGATCAAGTAATCACTTGTGTATCTGTTAGTGAAAATCAAGCGTCTCCTGCCAAATATTTTGTCCACCTAAAAAGATTACGTAACAAAATTAAATTAGGACAACTCCTACTTAGCTTTCAACCAAAGACAGGTAACACCACTACTCTCTAGTAACAACAATCCTACATCCTAAATCTCTGTGCTCCTACTCTGTACACTAAACATATATAGATTACCTACCATAAATTATGAGAGAAGTGCTCTAATAAGGAACTAAATTTAAAAATGGAATCCAATACAAAGTGTTACTCACCAATGAGCGAGAGCACGAGTGCGTCGGCGCGAAGAATAGCAGGCGGCGCGGCCAGCGCCAGCGAGCCGCGCAGCAGCCGCACGGCGCCGCCCGCGCAGCGCCGCCAGAACACGCCGCCCGCGCCCTCCATCGCCCTGCGCACGCGCACACGCATACAGCGACCAGTCGCATCACATTCATACCACACACATTTATACCTCAGCTAAAGACATATCCATAACAAACGTGTATTGTCAGAAATCATCGATAACAAAACAAAAACATACAAATAAGTTTTCAAACATAATATCTTTGTAGTCGCCTGCGCGTGACAGGAGAATTCGTATTTCAAAATTATATTCTTTTTTTTTTATTTTCTTCGTTTGTAAAAAAAGGTAGGGTGCGTTGAAGCGGTTAGGATTAACAGTATGTTTTGTTGGAAAACTTATTCTGAGTTTGCTTTTTGAAAACTACATATACATGATATTTTTAACATCGGAATTTTCATAATTAAACCAAGCTCCCTAGACAGATAACAAACGAATCCATCGATAGAATCGTTACTGAAAGCGAGCCCATTAGTTGGAATGAAACACCCGACTTTGCTATCTCATTCTACCTCACAAATTCGCTATCAATGTCGATTCTATCGATAAATTTACTTGCCGCTTGTCTAGAGGACCAATTCTTCCAAATCTCCCATTATAGACATAAAATGTAACTAAAACTTTTGTACCAGTATACTATGCAGTAAATCAACTTTATTATATATTTATTTACAACATTAATATTCTTGATATTTTGTAGTACTGTACAAGTGTACATTTGCGTATGTATTTTCCTGGTGTACCACAAAAAATACGACCAATACGTCATAAAGACACTCGTTATTACGATCGAGTTATAGATGTAGACAGATAAACAATTTAATTAATTACTACATAATAAGAGTATTAACAAAAAAAAAAATACAAACCATAAATACATATATACACATTAAAATAACCACAATAGAATGTAAGCATGTGTGCAGTACAAGAACACAAGATAGTCGTAGGTCAATAAGGATGTATGTTATACTAACTGCGGCGGCAGCGTGGGCAGGAAGACGTCCGCGTTGAGCGTGGCTTGGAGGCGCGCGCGCACGGCGGCGGCGAGGCGGCGCAGCGGCGGCGCGGCGCCGGCGGTCGGCGCGGTAGGCGCGGTCGGCGCGGTCGGCGCGGGCGGCGCGGGCAGCGCGGCGGCGCGCAGCAGCAGCTGCCGCAGCCGCACGCACGCGCGCACGCACACCGGGTCCCACGCATGCTCCACCAGCTCTGCGGACAACAGCACAATTACAACTATCAGATTATCCTATGTGAGAAAGACTCTGTTTTCCGCACTTAGCCTCTCATTTGGGCCGTTGTGCGTTCAGATTATCCTAATCCAATGCTAAAACAGAATACAATAATTTGCACTTCACGCTACTGTATTTCAGTTGTATTGTTTATATGTCATTATCTATTGTTATGTTTTTGATGCAATAGTTAAATAAATAAATTGCTAAATAAGCAATTAATATCTTATTTGGTTCTTAACATTGAGGCTTCTTTCCACTTTGATGATTTTCTACTGTGATGCAACTGTCTGTTTTATTAGCGTGTGCAAAAAGTAAATAAGGTTTGCTTTGGTCCTTCGAGTCGGATACAAATTTTTTGTATAGCACTTAAAATGACAAACGTGCTGGCAGCCTACCTAACAGAAACTACTAAGTCCCTAATATCGCAATAAGATTTTACTTACCTGTGAGCTTGGGCAGCACTAGTTTGTTAATAATGGTGGGCACGAGGTAGAGATCGGGGTCCTCCCGCACGGAGGTCTCTGTCACTGTAGGCGCCTCCCCATCTGCCTCGTCGTCGTCATCAGACTGCTCCGAGTCGCTCGACAATCGCTCGGACCGGACGCCGTACATCATCAGGCATCTGACAATAATACATGACAGTTACCTTAGCGACAGTGTAAAAAAAAAAATGCAGAAATTTGACAATTCATTTGTATTTTTTTTTTGTATGTATGTCGTCATCCATTTTGAACAAATATTTTTTTTTTCAATAATTAAAATTTAATCTCAAGCAACCATTTTATTTACTGAGAAAGGCAAACTTTATCCTAAGACAATAAATCCACTATACGAGGTCTGTCCGGAAAGTTCGTATAAAAGTGTTCTGGAATGCGAGAAAGAGGAGTGGGGAGGCCAGGTAAGCGCAGGACCCCTTCCTTATGTCCCTAACAATGCTTCAGTTCTGGTCTGAAACTGGCTTGTCACGCCATCTGTGAAGTTACCTCTTAACGAAACCCCGTCGGCATGGAGCCCGCTTCCGTTGAAGAGCAGCGCGTCGTAATCAAGTTTCTCTCGAAACTTTTGGAAGACATCCGGGGAACCACGAACAAAAAAATCAAGAAAATCCCGCTCAAATGTCAAGACAATGTTGATTGTTTTTTTCGATGTTCGGGGGATTGTCCATCAAGAATTCGTCCCTCCAGGCCAGACAGTTGATGGAAAATTCTACGTCGATGTTTTCGTGTGGCACGAGTTCGTCCAGAATTGGCGCGAGAGGGGCGTTGGATTCTTCACCACGACAATGCCCCTGCCCACACCTCTCTTGTTGTCCGTGAGTTTTTGAGTAAAAATTCCATTACGGTGACCGAACACCCCCCCTATTCGCCGGATTTGGCCCCGTGTGACTTCTTCTTGTTCCCAAAAACCAAATTGGTACTTCGGGGGCGGCATTTGGGGGACATAAATGAGATAAAAAAAGCTACGACGGGGCAGCTGAGAAACCTACAACCAGAGGACTTTCAAGGAGCCTTCTCACAGTGGAAACGGCGTTGGCACAAGTGCATTATGTCACAGGGGGAGTACTTTGAAGGGGATAAAATTGATTTACCTGAATAATTGTAAAATAAAATTTTTAAAAAACTTTTATACGTACTTTCCGGACAAACCTCGTATACACAAATATCAGAGTCTTCTTGTCAATGTTATTCATCAATTTAAATACACATATTACTTCTAAACTTCTGTTCCCGTTTAACCTTCAAAACGTCCTACTCATGCACCTAAAAATAAGCAAAGAAATATAAACAATGCTCACTTGTACCAGTCCATTTTTTCATAGTCCTCGTTGTCTTCGTCTGCTAATGGATTCCACAATATAAGCTGCACAAATAAGAAAAATTCATTCAAAAAACATTCTCCAAATTATATTAGTATCCTATACAGCAATAACTAGTTTAATATTTATTTATTTTATTTAAATTTAACACACTACTCGTCGTCTGAGACTGTCAACGGTCGCCAGAGACGAGAAATAAATAGTTTTCATACATTTTTTATGAACTTGTTCGTACAGTCGGGGGGAAGGAGTTCGGATTTTTAATCCTGGAGCATGCACTAGTATGTATTCAACAGCTCGAAGTATAGAAAGCAAAGAATCTAAACTCGCTCGTTCGCAGGCGGTAAAACATGCTCACCGTCGTCGTTGGTCTTCTCATTTAAATGGGGGGCTTCGGGGTGAACCCTCTTCTCTCGTCTTGAATGGTCATTTATGTTTACGAGCTTACCTGATGGCGCCAGAGCTCACTGGTGCTCACCTGGTGGCGCACGTAGGGCGCGAGCAGCTGCGGCAGGTGCTGCGCCACGTACGCGTCGCAGTACAGCGCGCGCGAGCGGCGTCGGAAACGTGCCAAGCGTGCGCACACGCCGCGCACGCTGCGCCACGCCGGCAGCGCGTCCGCGAACAGCGACTGCGACTGCTGCCGGATCGCCTCTGCAACGTAATTCAATTTAAATTAAATGAACAATGTTGACTGTGACTATCAAGTAATAGACACAAAAAAAACTCGTCAGTTATTCCTCGTTCAAAGCGGGCGGTACCTCTCTCCTGCTGGTAGTGCTGGTGCTCTGCGGGCGGCAGCTCGTCGTCGCTCGAGTCACCGTCGCGGTGGCGCGGCGTGGCGCCGGCCGCCGCCGCCGCTGCCGCGCGCTGCAGGCGCCGCGCTCGCCTCCTGCCTTCCCGCTCGGCCGCCCGACGGATCTTCTCCTCAGAGTCCACGGGCTTCGCAGCGCCGGGACGTGCTATCGAAAAGTGTTTTAATGAATTGTTCGTTTACAAACTACACGTCACGACATGGACTTTATCCAAATCTACATTATCTGCGAAAGCCTATACAAGTATTTCTTTTATGCAACTTGAAATAAACGAGCTGATAATCCAACTAATAGAAAGTTGTCTATATACATGAATAGCTACATCAATATCACAGCACTGTGATGTTTCGTTCCATCACCGAAGATATACAATGGAAAGTAAATCTAACGTGGCGCCAGCCTAAATGCTAGTACGGTGGTGAGCAGAGCGTAAGGATCGATGTTTACCGGCGAGTGCCAGCGCGTCCTGCGCCTGGTCACGCACGTCAGCGCGGCGCCGCTCCACCAGGTACTCGCAGCGCCAGCGGTGCAGCGCCAGCGCACGTGCCTCCAGCGCCTCCAGCTCCGGCATCTGCCGACGGCAGAACATACAATGCTAACCCCGCCTGCGCTATCGGTATCACCAGTGACAGATTATTGGTAAGGATCGAGTCAGATCAGTTGATCATCGTAGCGAATTCACTAGAAATCAACCACGATGGCTTCCAGGGGAGATTGCGTGGGAAATGACCTGGAGATCTCTTGTCGACAGGACATATTACTAGCAATAAGGACTAACCTGTATATTTCTTATAATTCATTCCTTCGTGGATCATCTTTATTTATACCATAAATAAACGTTCTATAGGACACGGGTCCCCAATGTCGATGGCCTCTGTAGCCTGTCATATTCACTGCCATATCAGATTGTCAAACCAAAACACATTCATGCAAGACCAGCTGTTTCACTGCAGAAACACTAGCGGATCAGAGACCCCAAACAGACGTACAAAACCTTAGGAAGTCTTTAGTGGCAACATGACCATTACCTTCTCGTCGAGGCACTCGATGAGGTCAGTGAGGTACCCACGGGCGGCTTGCGCGCGTCTGTAAGCTGCGTCCAGACCGCTGCAACGCGCGGCCCGCGACTCGCGGGTCCTCGCCGCCGCCACCAGCCGCGCCATCATCTCCTCCTTGCGCGCGCGGGTCTGATCGCGGTCTATTTGTAGCTCCTCTAGCCTGCGGACAATCGAAAGGGTTCCTTCTCTTTAACTAATTCATACTAACACAATAATAATAGACTAGTATAGAAGTGACACTCGTATACTTTATGAATGCGACAATGGCGCCAAAATATTACCCTTCCTTTCTTCAGACCCGACATCAATTGTCACAAATTTATTCGTATTTAGTAAATGAACGTGAAACACACACTGCTTTTTGCGAGCCTCGACATAACGGGGGGAAAGGGATTGTTAATAATGAGATTTATGTCCCATTGCTAGCAATACAACCTATCAGGTCGACCTCCTCGCGGTTTTCCCTGGAACTTTTTAACTATCATGGTTAATTCCTGATGAATTCATCATGACGGGCTAACTGGCCTGTTTTCATTCTCATCGATCACCCTTCACTGCCATTCCATTTTCACACATAAAAAAAAACTATTCCATTACAGCCATTAAAAACTAACGACATTTGTAAGACAAACACAGTCTGCTATGTAGTTATATTACCTACAAGTTAAAACTAATAGTTGAATATGGGGGAAAAGGGATTGTTAGTAATAGAGACTGAGAATCCCATTGCTAGCAATATACCTAACCAGGTCGACCTCCACGCGGTTCCCCCTGGAAACTATTATGGTTAATTCCTGATGAATTCATCATGATGGGCTAACTGGCCAGTTTTCATTCTCATCGATCACCCTTCACTGCCATTCCATTTTCACACATCAAAAAAAACTAATCCATTACAGCCATTAAAAACTAACGACTTTTGTAAAACAAACACAGTCTGCTATGCAGTTACTGGTATATTACCTGCAAGTTAAAACTAATAGTTGAATATGGTTTAAATGATATCAACAATAACTTCTAAATATTTCTTGTTAACTCTTATTTTGGTAGCTTTGTGTACAGCGCCTTGTATTTATATTGTTGCTATTTGTGAAAACCTATTAGTGGCTTATTTTGTTATCCTAAAATTGTATCTATTTGCTGTAATGTAGCCCTGGTTTTCCTATGAATAAATAAATAAATAAATATAATGAACTCATTATCATTATTCTAATTATCGATGATTACTACGTACACATAGTTAAAACTTTCGCGTTATTTACACATATTTTATTTATTTATTTATTCATAGGAAAACCAGGGCTACACTAGAGCAAAAAGATACAGTTTAGGATCACAAAATAAGCCACTAATAGGTTTTCACAAGTAGCAACAATATAGATACAAGGCGCTAAGTACACAAAGCAACAAAAATAGGAGTTAACAAAGAAATAATATGAACAAACAAAAATGAAAACAAAAAAAAGTGATGAATAAAATACAAAGTAAAAATTAATTACAAGTATTTGATTAAAATTTAATACACAATCGAGATTTAACGCGATAAAATACCTATGTAGGTAAATAGTACCTACATACCTGCTTCTTTATCGCCGTCGTTTCGACGAGAATTGCACCAAGTAGTGGCCACGACAGGACAAGGTTTTTCATCGCTTTAAGTCCCAATATTATATTTAAAATATACATACCTATAATTATAATAAGGTTAAAATACACCACGAAACTTCTGTTAATTTTTTTATTAATTTTTTCTGTTAATTGTCCACTGCTGTACATAAGCCTTCCTCATAATAAGAGTTTTGCCAGTAATTGCCACGCTTGGCAAACAGGTTGACAACCACAGTTAGGTTTTTAGAGAGAGACGACGCACCCTCCCTTAGTCGCCCCTTACGACACCCACGAAAAAGGTAGGGGCGGCCCATTCTATGCCGGGGCACACTCGGCGTAGAAGAATTTACAAGATATACAATACGTTCTCTTCTCTTTTCATTTATGAGTTTCCTCTTGTCGGTGCAACTAATTCATGCATCTTCCTCCAGTCAATTCTATCCCAAGCCATATCCTTTACCTCCCTATACGACATAACACCTAGTGTTTCTTTTATTGGATTGGCAACCGCAGTAAAGCTTTTAGAGATGTTTTAAGAGGGACGCTGCTGCCCATCCCTTGCCCTCTTTTAATTACTTTGTTAAATTATAATTAAAAAAAAAAACATTTTAATAGCACCTTTTTCTTCAATTTAAACGTAACTTACATTACACATACAAAGGGCCATGAAATATTTTCCGAAATTTCGAAGCAATGAAAGACGTTTATGTATGTATATGTATATGACTATGCTGTCACAAATATTATTTTTTACAAATCTATCTTTTTTAACGCGCCACCTACCTACTTATGCTTTAATCCTTTCTACCCAAAGGTTGTCTGGAAGAGATTGCTTAGCAATAAGACCGCCTTTTGTACTACACTATACGTATTGAAAATTGTTTTAACAAATCATGTTATGTTGGTGCAATAAAGTGTTAAATAAATAAATAAAATAAATAAAAGACAAATTTAATTTTAAAATTATATAATACATACCGTTTAAAAATATTAAAAATGTTAAAATATCATTCCTTTGAACTATTGTGGTAGGATTTATGAGGAACAAAATGTTAACATCCATTTACTGGGCCGATGTCTGTATGAACAAAAACACTAGAATCCAAAAAATTCCAATAAATAAATTAATTAATTGCAATAAACAACACGTGTCACCCGAAACTTAATTAAACTATTATATAATGAAAAATCTGCATGTAGTATTCTATGTTACACATCTATTTTTAAATATTAACACAATAATGAATACAAGTAAATAAAAAAGTGAACGTTTCCACATTTGTTGTGTGACCAATAAAATAGTGACTACTGCCACAGATAATATAATGCTATAATTATCAAACAATGCCCAAAACCTACCCACATTGTTTGTTAATTTTTCATTTATTTTATACACATAATTGCAATTTCAACAATTACTTAATCTACATTTTGCACAACTTTAATTGTAAGCCAAAGATATAGAATCGATAAATTTTTTCGTATACACATTAGTATTTTTTTTTTACATTACATTTTTTATTAATTAATTTTAAGACATAATTACATACAAAAGAATATTACCTATTTAATCTTACCTTATTTCAATACCTATCTAAATAAATGTTTCTAATGGAATATATTTAAATAGTTAAAGATAAAAAATTTCTTTGAGATCACTGCCAGCTGGTAGGGTACCTAGGAGACTTGCTGCATTAGTATATTTGAATTTGGAACTTTGAAATTTCTTTTAAAAATCGAGGGTCTACAATAAGTAGATTTATTTCAAAAGTAGTTTTCTACTCAGCAGAAAAGTTTTTACTGTCACAAAATATGCTACCAATATATGGGAATTAACAAAAATTTAATAAACTATCAGCTTCAAAAAGAATTATCAAAATCGCTTTAAAATTGATGACTTAATCATGTAACATCATACAAAAAACACACACACACACAAGCATGATAGACAAGTGTCAGCTATTTGTACCCAGTTATATGTGTAATAACAACACAGATTATAAATTTTGTTATACGAAGTGATTATCTTAAAATGTTTGTGTCATCAAAATATATTTATATTAATTTTTAACAAAGCGACGGTGCCATGTACCAGTTATGCTGAGTTTACACACTTGTCTCTTGCCGAATAACCAAGCGAATAGAAAAGGTTTGAAATAGAATGTGTAGTCGCAAGTGCTTGTCGCAAAATTTTATTTTGTGCGATTCAATCACAACGATAAATACTTGTGATCGAGTACTAGTAAAATTTTTATCAAATACCGGTTCTATTTGTGTGTGGCTATGAATAACAATTCGTAGCTGCGTGTACGCATGTAGTCATTATACAAGTGTGTAAATCTGGTATTAAATAAAAATTGCTAATCTCACTTAAACGATACTACCCTCAATATGCTAATAAAATAATACATCATTGTTTTTGTTTACCCGTGACAGGCTAGCTATATACATAAAAGGTACAATTGATATTATACTACGTTATATTAATAAAAAATTAGAAAGTTACAGAATTTGTCATATTGTGATAAATACGAATCGTAATGGAGAGCGCACATTGGCGCGAAATAATCAAAGAAGCGAGACAATTGGAACAGACCAAGCGGTATAATGAATCCATAGAGAAATACTACGCAGCATTCCAACAGTATCCTAATATAAAGGAAAATTTTGAGCGTGAGTTTCGCATTACTTTCACAAAACTTATAGAAGTTATGAGCAAAAGCGAGAACGAAACGGATGTATTCCGTCACTTTGAGAAAGCGAACGAAGTGTTCCCCGGCAACGTGCACCTACTGAACGAAATCGGTGAATATTTTTTAAAATACATGAACGCGCTCCCATTCGCGATGTTGCACTTCAAGAAAGCACACAATATAGATTCCAGTTTGGTCTGCATCGAGAGGAACTTGAATTATAGCTTGACAGCATTATTTCCAAAAAGATGTTATAAAGCACTCAATGACAAGCGAAAAAACGAGGCCTACCGAGCCGCTATAAGAGAATTGATAATACCCAAGGTAGATGTTGTGGTGTGTTTGAACGCCGGCCCTGGACTGTTGGCGCTTTACGCAAACGAGTGTATGCCCAAGTCGGTCACGACCTACGATAGCTCCATTTTCATGGAGAAAATAGCCAACGAAGTTATGAAGGTGAATTCAGCAAACAAGGTGATTGTAGCCAATAACCCGTGTTACTCGGCAACTCCCGTAGGTATGCGGGACAAGTGGAACCTTGTAATCATCGACACATTCGACCACTGCATGTGTAATAATAGTGTGTTGATGTCACTGTTACACGCGTGGAATAATATGGACAGTGAAGCCCGAGTCATCCCCTATAAAGGAGAGCTCTTTGTCATCGGCGTCAGTAGCGCGCAACTAGAACGGAAGCATCGGTTGTGTGAATCCATCAAGATATACCTGAACATTCAAATGTGCAACGTGGAATTATGCCAAGTTAACCATCTAGAGGAAGACTTAAAATATTACACAGACTTAGAGTACGTGACCGAACCAGTTTCAGTGCTCAAAATCAACTTTAATAATTACAATG